TAACTGCTGCTCGCTATTTGGATTTCCTGCGGTTCGATTTGGTCCCAAGCTTAGCAGAGTTATTCCCGAACAACGAGGATCCTGATATTCCTGAGGAAAGAATTTGGTTTCAGCAGGATGGTGCACCGCCCCATTATGGAGTGCAAGTACGGGAGTACTTGAATAACACGTTTACTGGCCGGTGGATCGGGCGACGCGGAACAATCGAGTGGCCTCCGCGTTCGCCTGATTTAACACCTCTAGACTTTTTTTTGTGGGGCTATTTGAAATCGCGTGTGTACACAAACAGACCAGGTGATTTGGAAGAACTTAAAAACCGTATTCGTTTTGAAATAAATCAAATCGACCCGGGAATGCTTGAACGAAGTGTAGACGGCGTTTACACACGCTTAGGACAATGCCAAATGGTACAGGGTGGGCAATTCGAACAATTTCGCTAGACTTACACAAACATTAGTGTAATTTTACTCGTTTGAAATGTAATTTTGTCAACTTTGTCCTTTTCGGAGCCATTAATAGTGTAAGTAGACAATTATCACCTATAAGAACTTAAGGTGCATTTTTCTAAAAAAAATTGTTATGTAAGACATCGAAATTTTCACACCGTTGTTTAGATAATTATTACTGTCATCAATTTCGAACGAAAAAAATATGCGTTGTCATTTAAACAAAAAATTATGTCATCGCTGCCGTAAGTGGATTACCGAAAAAAAATTTTTTCCACATAACAAGGTGCCCTGGAGCAAATAAAAATCGACGGGTCTCACCGTTTTTCGAAAAAAAAATTGTTTAACGAAAATATGAATTTTATGCAGAACTTTTTTACCACGTTGTATGTTACTGATCCTGCTCCATCGTATGTCCCTGCTGGGACCTATAGTTTGGACTATATGGTATCCTCAGAACATTCTGCGGATATCTGAATATTATGGCAATATACAGGGTGATTCAAAAAACCGCTGACAAACTTCTAGGGTAGATAATACATGAAGAATTAAGTCGAAAAGTCTTAATAAACATAGGGTCGCAAATGCCTCCTTAACAAGAGACAGGGTGTCAAAGTTTCTGTAAAATGAAACATTGTCTGCAATAATTCCAAAATGCCTGAACATTTCTATTACAAATTTGCTACGCATAGTTAGCACCTTAAGACCAATGTTTGACGTACTGCTCAGAATTTTATGAGCAGCAGTTTCGTAGAGACGGGGTCAACATGACCCTTTTTTAAAAATATTTTTTCGCCACTGCTAATTTTGTCAAATGGATAATATTTTCGTGTAAAGTGTTCAATTGTCTATCAAATTGGCCCCTTGCAAAATTTTGATTAAAGCAACCATTTTTAAGAAAACACATTTGCAGAAATTTTGTGAATCCAATTTTATTTTCATTCATTTTAGTTTGCATAGTAGACTTGTGCTATTCAAAATAGCGGCGCTCCGGCACATTTCGCTCAACAAGTAGGAGATTATTTAAATATGACACACTCTAGACGGTGGATTGGATGTGGTGGTCAATCCAGTGACCCGCCTGTTCACCGGACTTAAATCCTCTGGATTTCCACACTTGGGGTCATGTTAAGGAGCTGATTTACGTAACTCCAGTAAATTCGATTGATGAATTATGGCAACAAATTCAACAAGCCTTTCAAACAATTCGCAATACGCCCGGGATTTTTGAAAGAATAAGAAGATCCTTAGCTCGGAGGGTAGAAACGTGTGTCGAATCACAAGGTGGTCACTTCCAGTAGGTACCTACTCTGATATTTTACATTATTTCCAGTTATACAATTTTTATCATTACGTTTTCATCCTGTTGTAGTTTATTGTTCACGTTATTTCATTCTGACAAAATTAGTTGAAACCTAAATTACTGAAAAACTGTAGCTTTCATCAAAATTTTGCAAGAGACCATTTCGATAGACAATTGAACACTTTACACGAAATTAGTGTTCATTTGACAAAATTAGCAGTGGCGTAAAAAATATTTGAAAAAAAGGGTCATGTTGACCCCGTCTTTACGACACTGCTGCTCATAAAATTTTGAGAAGTACATCAAACATTGGTCTTAATATGCTAACTACGCGTAGCAAATTTGAAATAGAAATATTCAGGTATTTTGGAATTATTGCAGACAATGTTTAATTTTACAGAAACTTTGACGCCCTGTATCTTGTTGAGGAGGCATTTACGACCCTATGTTTACTAAGACTTTTCGTCTTAATTTTTCATGTACTACCTACCCTAGAAGTCTGTCAGCGGTTTTTTGAATCACCCTGTAGAATTGACTCATTCTTACAAATTGGTATATCCCAGGGGTATGTGGTAGCTGTCAATAGGCAACCTGAAAATATCATTTGTTATAAATGTCAACATACTGCATAGATTAAATAGTTCGCTCTCTGCTAGGAGGTACATACAAAGCAATGCTTTGATTCGTAAGAAGCCCTAAATAAAAATTTAACAATATACAAGAAAAGAGGAACAAACCTAAAGAAGTACTTATTTCAACTCTAGGCTTGGACAAAAAAAAGTAGGGGCGGTCAACTATACTACTACAACTCCCTTTTCTTTCGTCCGCGCTTTGATTTGTTTTAATATTACACACAAATTGTACCAGCACCAGCATAAAAGATATCTATGTAAAAAAAAAATTTTAAATTGAAACTTTGACATCCTGTATCGTGAGAGAGACAAAACGAAAAATAACACAAGGAAAGTTCTCAGTTAATGGTAATACTGCACATTTCGTTCATTGTTAGATAATGGCAAACTTGTAAAACATTTGTTTATGTATAAAGTATTTTTGTTGACTTTTTAAATATAAATAGTGCTGTACTAATATAAGACGAATTATTTTAGTTAATATTTGGTTGCAATTATTAATGTGTTTTGCGATTCAACGAAATTACAAAATCATTGCTACAATCAGAAAGAATGAAAATGAAATTCAGGCCTTGCACGGGGTGAGGGCTTTGTCGGCCCTTGCGTTAATAATTTCTCACAAAGTAATGGCCCTTTTCTATAATCCGTTTATGAACAGGTCGGTCATGAGTGAGGTGAGGTTGCATTTAAAATTAATTACGAATACTGTGTAAATTTTGAATTTTTTAGAACTTAGGTATGAAATGGTCTGTGATAGGGAGGACCGCTATAATTTATACAGAATGTTTTATGTTACTCAGTGGGCTGCTAAGTGCTAATTCTCTATTCGCTGACTTGGATAAAAGAAAAACTATGAATTTTAGGGATAAATTAATTAGCAGACTGTTTAGGTAAGTCATGATATAACCAAATTAATGCGACTCGGAATAGTGCTTTTGTTTGAAATTTTTTAAGGTTTCTATGTTTATCCAAAATTCAGACATAGGCTCCTATTATCAATATACAGGGTGAATTGTTGTGCGCATTTCTTACGTAACGTCATCGTGATTTAAGCAATAATAATACAATGTTGACTAGGCAATTTATATCAATTTTCACTTTTCTTCTTAAATAATTAACTAACGTTGATAGTCACGGCTGACTCTACGGTCACTTTTAAAAGTTTTTAAAAACAAATTGTAAATAAATGTTTAAAAATTTGCAACCTTCACAATATACCTATATAAAATAGAATCATTTATAATATCATAGAATTTTAAAGCAAAAACATGAGTAGGTATCAATGGAATAAATAAACAAGTATAGTGCTTTAAGGTTGAGAAAATTCTATAAAAAAATGTGACATTTGAATTTATTGAAGGTGCAGTCCCTCTCGCTGTCATACGTACTCATAAAATACTTATGAAAGGTGGAGTTTTTTTTCCGAAAATTGTCCTTCCAGATACAGGCATCCCCTATATTTTTGAATTTTTTTAATTTTAGCCGGGATAATATAATATAATTAATTGTGTTGAGGGTGCTCTTTCAGATAGCGAGTTGACGTGACCAGTTTTGACCGAAAAATCCATCTGACCATTTTATCACGAGTTTTTGGCTACGAGAACGTGAATTATTCTTACGTTTTTTTGACAGTAAATCGTGTATTTCGATCTGTTGGAGGTTGAATCATAGCGGTGGCCAAATATGGTCCCAATGTCCAATCCTGGGGCAAGAATTATTATTTTTTTGACTTCATAATCAAATAGACAGGGTCCCGATCTTCGATCCGTATCATCCCATTGCAATTGGAAATGATTTCCAAATTACATCCTCGGAGTCAATCATGCGAATATAAAACCCGTTTTGGACCATTCTGGTCTTTTTTGTGTACACATCAAATGAGAAAATTTTAACTTTTCATAAAATTTGTGCACTGTTTCAACATCTGGGGGCAGATATAGTTGCCAAGAATGTGTGAACTATACATACATATACAACCAACAGACGAAAACCCTAGACACAAAAATGAAAGAATGTGTAGGTACTGTTATCGAAATGAGTACGATTTTTTCAAGTATGTATTAGCACAGTTAGATATGTGGTATTAGGTATATCACGTTCACGAGCAGTTTCCACTGTCGCTGATCACTAATGCAGAATGTGGTACTTATTCATAAGATTTGAATCCAATAGAAAAAAAAATCAATATCAAGACAAATGTTCAATACAGGTAGAGAATGTAAAAGCAAAAACAATAAAAACATGTCCCGGAAAGATTAAATTTTCTCATTTTTTTAAATAAGCCTGCGCCTTTTTCTGCCCGCGATGATCCTCTATTGTATGCAGTTTATACAAGGAGCGAGGACTCTTATGGGCAGCGCATAAAAAATCGGATCCCGTTTGATGACCCAAAATAAAGTTTAACAAGTTATTGTAGCGCTGATGCACTGGAGAGTCTAGTAACGATGTTGCGCTTACAACATTAGATGCAGTGGATAAGCAGGACTTATTTTAGATAATACTTAATAAGAAATTAGTAAAAAATAAAAGTTACGTTTATATAAACATTGGCATTTTAAGTTTCTCGCGCATCTTTTTCATATTTCAATTAATTACATCAGTGCCGCTTTTACGTGACCGAAGAAATGGCTCACTTTTTTTAACATGGAGTCTTCGCTACTTGTATAAACTCCAGTCTGTTGGTCGGTTGCAGCATCTTGACTAGATTTTCCTAAAGTCACTAGATCTAGTGACTTTAGACTCTCTACAACGGCGACTCTTTAAACTTTACTTTGGGACATAAAACGGGATGCGAATTTGCATGCGCGATTGCGTTGCCATCAGAGCCTTCACACCAAAGACAAAATTTCTGTTGTCTCTGCCACTGTTTCACACTCCATATATATGCTCCATAGTCTTGACATTTTCGGCCAGTTCCTATCATACAGATTTGAAGGTACATGAATTTACACAAACAAGTTAAATTAGTCAATCAGAATAATAATCCCAAATCGCAATTCATTCAAAATAAAATTAATTTGCTGTGAAAGGTTTTTGATAATCTTGAAATGTGAACGGTTGTCACTTAGTACACAGGGCCGTTATCTTGTTGGTACCTACTTGAATCGATGTTGCCCCTTTCGCAGGTTTAATCCCTCTGGGCCGAATAATGTAGATCAGCTATACATATTCGTACAGGGGAAGTGGAAGTAGGATAGTCGATAGCAGTCTTTGCAGATATGGTAAGATGGAAGAACGTTGGTTTGGGAAAAACTCCGTGGTGAGTGGTAACTCTGACGTACCCTATCCTCACACCGGCCTGCGAGTCGCAGACAAAAGGCTACGTGCATTACCTAGTTACAAGCTGTTCCTAGAAACCCACTCTTCACGACGACTACCCCCCCGGGGGGCTAGACAAGACGGCGAAGAAAGAAAAATCAAGACATGAAGAGCGTCAGAAGAGGCTCCTCTGCCGTCGGGGGCCAGCCAAGGCAAGAGGAGGTCCCACAAAGCGTCTATACCAGCTATGCTTGTGGTCGGGGTAAACGATGGACAGGGCCTCACGAGGCTGCCCAGGCCTATAGAAATAAGGCAGGATAAAGAGGGACAGTCGCCCTCGGTCCCAAATTATCGAGACCACATTTAACGCCAAAAATAACGGCGCGTGGATCATCAAAGCTACTCTAGAATTTTGAAAAATTATTTTTCGATAAATGGTTTAAACAATGCTTTATTAGCTGCTCTCCAATTGACAAAAATGTACTTGCACGTCAGGAACACTTCAAATTAGCTTTTTGCATTCCAATAAGCAGGAATATTTTTCTCTTAAAGTGTTCCTGTTTGTTTTCCCCTATCCCCTCACGCACCACCTTTACGTGTTTCTCTCGTAATATATGTTAATATTCTTTGGTAGAAGTATAAGTACACCTCAGAAGCTATCATGTAAAGAATATAGGAGAAAAGTTGTAAGTGGGGGGGGGGGGGGAATACAAGATTTTTCAACCACTCACAGTGCACTGCATCTATTATGTTTTGTAGCTATTATAGAGGCCAGATTGAGTTTCAGATCAAATCGAAAAAAAAAGAGAATCAAGCAAATATCAGTATAGAAGGCCAATTATATGGTGCAGGCATCGGTGATTAAAGAATTTCTTATCCTGACTGTGTTTCAAGAAACCTCCTTTTTTAACTGGCTGGCACGTAACTCAAAAAGTTTTCAACGATTCGACTTAAAATTTTGTACAGAACTTCGCAATAACACAACTCAGAGAATATTGCAGGGGATTTTCAATTGATTAACAATTTAAAGAAAAATTTTTCGGCAATATTTTGCTTTTGAACGTTCACTAAGTCAACAATTATTATTTTCCATGTTTCCTACTGGCTTTTAGTATATATCAGAAAAGGTTTGTTTCTTCGTTCTACGACCACCCGTTAATAAAGAAACCTTTCCGGCCATAGCCCTCTGAATAAAAGGTGTCGTTATTTGCCAGCACTTACAGCCGCCATTTTGAATCTAAATCGTTTGAAAATACTCACAATACTTTACTACCTGAAAACATCTACAATAAAGCCATTTTGTTCATGACACTATATCTTGTATCTATTTTTCCTTCAAATTTCCTGAATATCACCTTTTTTCCCAACCTCTAGACAGGCATATTACCCCTTAATAAAATAATACACTAAAATGTAGAGAACTAGAGTTTTATTCTTATGAATATCATACATTATAACGTAAAATCACCGTAAAATTAATAAAAGGGACGACTTAATAAATTAAACCTTTAAAAAATTTTAATCGCTGTCCGACTGAGCTGATCCAGACCCTGACCCCGATTCCGAACCAGATCTAGATCGGGATCTAGACCGTGAAGCAGATTTAGACCTGGATTTTGATCTCGAGGGAGACTTTGATCTAGACCTAGATCTAGATGGAGATTTGCTTTGAGATTTACTTCTAGATCTTGAACGGGATTTTGAAGCTGATCTTGACCTAGATGGAGATTTTGAGCCAGCCGGAGATTGTGATCTGGATTTAGACTGAGATCTAGATCTTGAGCCAGACCTGGACCTTGATCCAGATCCTGATCTGGAACGGGATCTAGATTTGGACTTTGATCTCGACTTAGATCTAGAATGAGAAGATGAACCTGACCGTGATCTTGAACCCGATTTAGATCTTCGAGATCTACGAGAAGATCTAGATGATGCTCTAGAACCACCTTCATCGTTGCTCTCATTTCCACTTTCTTTTTCCTTATGATTTTCTTGATCTGACTCAGCTTGACTCTCATTTTCCTGGTCTTCTTGTGTATTTTCTTCCTGATTTTCCTCAACTTCCATCTCTTCATCTTCTTCACCTGTTAATAAAAATTGTATTCCATAAAAACTTGACTTACTAAGATTAGTACTATAACAATAAATATTACATGACAAACTAATCCAATGTAAAATATGAGAATTGTATAGTTATCAATATGTATATCTACAGAAATGCAGTTTTCCTAAAAATGATAAATTCTAAACATTTTCAGTAGCATCATTAATGTTGTGCAAATGTTGAGCAACCCTGTAGTAAATGTTTGTAAACTGTGGTATACATTTAATTTATTTTGCAATTAGACAAGTTCATTTTAAAGTAAATACAGTGCAACCTCTTTAATCCGAACACACGTTAATCCGATCACACGCTAATCCGAACGGCCAAATCTGAACGATGACAAGAAAAGACTAGATCGCTTCGCGCGTAATCGGCAGTCAGTTTGTTTCCCGATAGCGAAGAACCTGTTGCATGTCGGTTTTGTGTAACAATTTTAGAGTTTTTTTGGAAGTAAGAAAAATAAAACATGTGAAAAGCGTAATACATATATGTATATGTAAACTACATGTTTATGTTTTACCTTATATAAGTTTTATGAATCTTATATGATTCACATTTATATTGTTATAAAATGTGTATGCACTTACATAATATACATATGTACGAATCTTTATAGTATGTTCGATAATCCGAACGATTCGATAATACGAACAACGCCTGACAATGTGGTGTTCGGATTAAAGAGGTTGTATTGTACTACTAAATACAAATACCCATTTGATTTTTAAGTCAATTTGAGAATTAGTTTTGATAACGAAAACTGTGTATGTGTTATAGTGGTTCTGGTTAGGTACAACTAAATTTACAAATTCACCCTTTTGGCGCAAGGCGTGGTTTATTAATTTATTTTTCCTTCTCAGTGGGGCAGAAAAACCCAATTAAATAAAAAAAGTAACTGGAAATGCCACAAGTAAATAATTACACACTTTTCATTTGAGAATTTTGGGAAAATTATTTTCATCTATTAATTAATTGTTTTTACAACTAAAAGTTCTCACCACCGACATCAAACTGGGAATATTTGTGAAATAAAAGAAATTATTAGTGACCGGATGGTGTGAATATACAGTTTGGAAGAAAAGTATGAAGTAAATTCATTATTACGGAAATAGAAAGATGTTATGAAATTTTCTTACACTTCGAATTTTCACATTTAAAAGAAATTTTTTCATGCACTGCAAACTACTATATATCAGATTTTTTTTTTAAATAAAACCCTTACAATTTTCCGCCCGATTCATTTGAACATAACTTTCTAAGTTTAGCAGTATACGATGCCCAATTTGTGACAAATCGTCCAATCTGGCAATGACGGTTTTCTCCCATTTTTTTCAATTATTGAAGTGACTGAGTGACCTATACCTAAAAAATCGTTGCTTGCAAGATTGCAAAAATAACTAACAGTTATGCCATTTCATCAGTATGCTAACAGATATTTAATGATTTTTCAAATTTTTTGCATAGTGACATAATACACATCAAATTTTAAATTAAAGTAAGACAAAAATTACCGATTTATCGAATTAACTAATTCCTTCACAAAATATATTTTTGAGTAATGAATATTTCCATTTTTTTTTGTAGTTGTAGAAACCAGCCCATAGTGAAAATTGAATCAATCGGTTTATTTTGTTAAAGTACCTCTAATATAATCTTATCAGAAGTACTTCATAATCTGACATGTTAAGTACAAGGCACATCAACAAAATAAGAATACTCAATTTCTTAAAAATCGAAAGGCAGTACTTATTTTTATGAAAAATTTGCATATTCAGAAAGGTACATCAAACGTTATTTTCGTCAAAAAAACTCCCACTGCCTCTCGGGCCTATTGTTTTACAGCACTTTTTCCACCCATAAACACCTTCAAAGAAAATCAGAAGGTGCCAGGTCAGGGCTGTGAGCAGGGTGGTTGATGTTCCAACCGAATGAATCTGAGAGTTGCTTTGTGGCGTTGACTCCTTTGTCATCTTCTTTTGTTCTATATCGTTCTCTGTACTACTTTCAGGGTTTGACAGTGCAGCACAGCATTAACTGTTTTCCTCTGGATTAGCATTTTTTTTTCCTGATGGTGAAGATCGATTTCGTTGCTGCATTGATTATATTTTCATCTCAAGGGAGTAGTGGGCCAACCATATGCCGTTGCCAGTCACAATGCAGTCAAAGAATTATTCACTTGGCGGGATTTGGAATAGCAGCACTGATGTTAACATGCCACTACAACAGTTCTCAATTGACCGAGACAAATGAGCACTCGTCCTGCTACCAACACCTTGGCCTTGAATGTGGTGTTGTCAACTTTGTCAAAAAAAAGAACCACAAAGCATCAGAGTCTCAGTACCCTTACTTTGTGGATATGCCTTGTATATAAATAGAACACACATAATAATTATAATTCCTTGAATTCATACTTCATCAAGAGTTCAAATTAGTTTTCTTTTTAATAAATGAGAATTGTTGCATTACATTTCGCTTACAAAATATTTACCTAATAATGACTGACATTCCGTTTTTAATCAAATATGTTTCTTTAAAAAAATATTCAGCTACCATCTGTATTACGGTTGAGACTACTTATTACCCCCCTTTGATGATTTTGTGTCATTTAATTAATTTTGTTTTAATTAAATTGAAATATATACAATTGCAAAAATGTTGCCTCGTTCCCTACTTCTACAATATTTTATTCCAGTGTCATTATTATTAATATGCTGTTATTATTTCTATTGCAAATTTTATTATGCAAATTATTTGGCTTGTTTTGAATAAATAAATCAACAACCACTTACCTGGTGGCTCAAGCTGCTTTTCTCTGTATCTCTGCATTCTGAATTCGTTTGCATCCATCGGTCTATGTTTGACAATAAGTCTGGTATTACTTGGAGCTTGTCCGACTTTCTGTCTTCTTTTACTTAAACGTACTCTAGTTTCAAGTTCGTTATAATATATACCATCTTGTCTAACAACAAAAAAGTAATTTTCCTCATAGCCTTTGCTTGCCTTGCTTTTAACATTCCAGTTATACTCTCTTGCCATTTTATATTCATATTCTTCGTCATCTTGGTATGGTATTTCATTTGCAAAGTCATCTCTCCTTTTCTGTAGGGTTTCATCTGTAGGCAGAAAGTAGGCGACAAATTGTTCTCCACTTTCGTCCATGACACCTCTACACAAATAATTATTATTAAATAAGTAAAAAATAATCACCAAGTAAACTGATGTTTTTAGTAAGATTTATATCCTGCCTCAAATACTTACCGAATCATAGCTTGTGACATTTCCTCAATCTGGGCTGGAACTTGTTTACCAACAGGGGCAGGATCAGAATCAAAAATGACCTGAGCACAAGGATATTTCCACAAATTGAAGTCTGGGTATACTGGAAGAACTTCAACTGGTACAACATTCGGTTTACTATAATGTTTCTCAATGGGAATTTTGGAATCTTCGAAAGTTTTCTCAATTGCCTTGATTTGAGAATCACGGTCCATATATAATGTTTCATTATTAAGGGATTTTTTAATGCTGTAACCAACTTTAGCCTCAACTTTATCCATAGTTTGTGGTTGAAATCTTGTCTGTTCTGTTGAAATGTACTCAGTACGTCGCAGCCATGACACTGACTTGGCATGGTGACGGGATCGTTTGGAATCCTGTGGTGTTAAAATATCTTCTTCTAATAATTTCTCATCTGCAGGATCCAAATATGCGCGAGGTTCAACCGCATATATATCTTTGTTAATTAAATCGATACTAACACCTAAATCATGCTCTGTTAATACTTCATATCTATAATTTCGTTCTAATGATGTGGGATTATATTGAATAAACCTAAATCAGAAAATTTTATTTAATTTTAATATCTCAATTTGTGCAATTTTTAGTCTTACCTTGTTGATTCAAATGGATACGAAATGAACTTCAAATCAAAAGGTATATCTGGTAAAGTATTACAATATTTTACTTTACAAATTAAATCCGACCTACAAATAATTAAAATAAAAGTAAATTTTTACTGTGGAATTAATGTAATACCTTTTTTCAACTGGTTTGACAGGTCTTTTGTCAGTAGTGTTTGTTCCATTTTGGGAGTTTTGAATTGTTGGAGGCATTTTAAAAATCATAGACACTATTTACAAATACTTTACAAACACATACTTGACGTATGACGTTTCATGTTCGAGACAGAAGCACAGAATACAGAACATCTAGAAAAAGCAGATTAATACAAGATTTTATAGGTTGGTCACCATTTACTTCTCTCCAATACGTGTTATAGCAGCGCCTCTTCTGACGCGTTCTCGTACTATAAGACTATAAGGGAACAAACCTCACTAGATGAGTTTTATTTTAAATTTACAGATTCTAATTTATCTATAAAAAGTCTAAAAGGGCCCAAAAAAAGCGCATATTTGTAAACGCACTCTTTTAAAATTGCAAATTGCGAAATAGTAATACTAATTTATTCTATGTTTTTTTATATGAAATCTAGCAACTCCACGCTGGCGCTGTTATTGTAAAATATATTAAATATTTTTTGATGAAAACTCGTAATGTGGAATTTTGAGAGAAGTACAAAAACGTGACCTTATTAGATTTCAGATAAATAAATTGCTATTATTGTAGGGAGCTCTATCTGGGTGGCTGTTTCAGAAAGGCACACTATATTTTTATCTGAAACTTAATTTTTCCATAAAGACATAAATCTTAACAACGCTTCTTTTTCGTACATAACATAACACATAACCTCCTTTTTTCTAACTCACCATAAGCCTAAAATAAGAATTCTTCTTCTTCTTATTTTGGCCTTCAACCAGAGGGTATTTAGCCAGCTCTAAGATAAGAAGTAAGAACTAAGAACACTGATAACTTTACTCCAGATCTCCTCTTCTTCTTCTTATTCGAATAAGTAAATCGAGCGGGATTTTTTAAATATTTGAAACGGGTTACTACATTATAATTTTTCGAAATAGGCTCAAGATTTGTAATTTTAAAAAATTAAACCTTACTTCTTAAATATGTCTTTTTAGGGTCTCTTTAGAAAAATATATATTTCTGCTTGATTTATTTCCTACTTACCCTGTTAAGTTGTACACATATACTAAATCAAAATACTCTGTAATATAAATGTTATTTTTCTTATGTACCTACCAAGAAACCGTGAATATTACATAATACTAATAGAAAAATAAATATATATTAGAATTATAAAATTCACAGTTTTAGATTTATTACAACTTCAAAAAACAATCCAAACCAATACCCATTACGTGATTTTTTACATGCGAAAAAAAAACATATTTTTAAATTATGATTTGAATTCATACAAAGGTTGTCCTTACTGAGAAAATGATTATAAAAAATTCTAATATTATTATGCCTGTTTGATACTTTAATTTGAAAAAAATTGTTCTATTAATTGACTGACATAATTTCCTCAAAAGTAATAAAAATTTTAAAATAATAATACCTTGTATTAGTTGTATCATGCATGACTAAAGAGAGTATGAATATTTAGATATTATACATTTACATTTAACCTAACCTAATCTAACCTGACTGGGCATAAATCGTTTTTCCAAAACGTTTCAAGTTCACATTTCTATGTTCTGTGGGAATACCTCTAAGATATAAAGGCTAGATATTGTTAGATAGTACGATTCATGGCTCCTTTCGGTGTAGTTTCCAGGTTGCGGTATACTAATTTACGGGCTCTATATACCGTTTTAATAAAATATGTGTTAAAAATAGATCATTTTATTAAAGTTATTATATACAGGGTGATTCAGTTTGGTATTCGCGGCCCTGTATCTCTTTTATTTTAACAAATATCTATAACAAACCCTACATATTTTTAAATCGCCGCTCAAGCTCTATCAAATGACATTATTAGATCGTCTCCATTGTAATATATGTCAAAATTGCTATAGTCAACTGTTTTTATTCGAATGGCACAATATATATTTTTTTATCAATTCTGGAAGATATTTTTTTTCTGTGTTCACCTATGTATGAAAGTCTATAGTTTCATTAGAAATATTGTTAGAAAAACAGCAAAAAAGATGAACCCTACTTTTCGTAGCTTTATTCTGAAAAATGATAACCATCTGCGGAAACAAGTTATTATGTTTTTTAAAGTAACATATTTTATTTTTAATACGATATTAATATAACAATTTAAAACAATGCTTATTTCAAATGTTCAAAATGACCTCCATTTGCTTCCAAACACACAATAGCTCTGTTTATCACTCCCTCTCTACAAACACATTCTACTATTTCTTCATTTAATCTCCGACATTCTACTCTTATTCTGTTTTTAAGATAAATATCATTTAGGTAAGGCCAAAGAAAGAAACCTATAGGGATGAGACCCGGAGATCTAGCAGGCCATTTAACATCTTTATCGAATGTTCTTCATCTCTTGCCCTTCTCAGTTTAAAAACTCTTCTTTTCTTTTGAAAACTTCCATCTGCCGCCAAATTCCTGGCTAACTTTTCGAAATTTTTTTCTGATGGAAGTTGTCTCTGCGGGAATCGATGTTGGCACCTATAAATACCGGGCAGCTTTAGAGTTCTTTCAGCCTTTTCCATAAATTAAAATCATATCTAGTTTTTCTTGGTTACTGTAAGTATTCATGTTATAATTAATTATTAGTTATAGATATAATAGGTAGGTACAAAATGTCAATTATTTTGACAAACCATTATTTAGAAACGTTAAAATTCAGTTGCTTCCGCAGCTGGCTATCATTTTTCAGAATAAGGCTAATGAAAGTATAGGGTTCATCTTTTTGCTATTTTTCTAGCAATATTTCTAATGAAACTATAGACTTCCTTATATGTCGGCATCACCCTTGTAACCGCTTATGAATTCGTAGCCACTCGAAGAACTGTCACCGTCGATGGAATGTTGAGGGCTTGTTTCTGTTTATGTTACAGAAATATTAGAGTACCAAATTGTTATCTCTTCAGGGATAAGTTTTAGTCTGTGTGAAAGACCATCATTATCTAACTTTTGTAAACACTTCCTTATATGGTAATGTTTGGTAAAAAGTAGACTGATAGGGTAAAGGAATGCACTGGGTACCGCCCCTGTGCATTCCTATACTTGACATTTCTGTTAACTGTCAGACTAGTTGTTTTCCCCATGGCACACTGCAATTAATTTATTTTACTATGTAATGAAAGTTAAATTTACAGCACGTTGGGAATGATTGAAATCGATTTTACTGGAAAACGGCACATCCTATTGAAATTTAACAAAAGGACCTTTTTTATGTTAAATACTTCAAATTTCAATATTTTCGAGTCAGGAACTAGGAAAAATTGACTACAAAAAAGATATGATTATATTTGTTCCTGGGTCCTGCATTTTCTGACGCCCCTGTAGCAAACTTTGAAATGTATTTTATGAGACTTATTAAGCACGTCAAGGTTAATATCTCACCAAAATTTCGTGACTTAATGTCGAGCCGTTTGGATGTTACCCATTAAAAACTGTTTCCGAGGTTACCCCTTTAGGAGAGCGTAGCTCCCTTAGGAGCCGCCACTGACAAAAATTGTACTAAAGTTTTCGTCATTTTTCGACTTTTTTTACAAGCTCAGAAATGTTGAATACTTATTTCAGTTACACCTTGTATAATTGAGATTTTATGTTATTAAAATGTAAAAATTATTAAAGCTTTATAGATATTTTCACACATTTTATTAACAGCTTTATTAAGATCTTATAATTTTAAATATTAAATAATTTTATATTAATTAACTTTTTTTCTATTTGTATTCAGTATGATTAATGTTATAATGCTTTTAGAATTTTGCCAAATCTTATCGCCGTAATCCTTTTTTGTACTTACTTACTTCCATTAATGGGATCTGGACCTCTATGGCCTTTAGTGGTAAATCATCATTCAGAACTATGCAAAAGATATATGTGGAGGAACATATTATTAATTCATAACTATTTTGGGTTTGAAAATATGGTGCGTATTTAAGAATATTATGTACTTACAAGGGAAAGTAGAGCAATTATGGATGTTTGTTTTTAGTGCTTAACACATACTCATCAAGTAGGAATCGATATGCAGTTATTTTTAATTACTCCATTTTTTGTGTATGTTATATGGAAATATGGAAAGGCAGGATTTTGGATTTCAGGGGCAGTAGCCCTTTTATCTACAATTCTAAGATTTTGGGTAACTTGGAAAAATAGTCTCAGTCATGTCGTTCATTTTGGAATACCGTAAGTAAATTCTACAGTGATTGTACGTTAATAAAAGGAACAATCTCGTTTTTAGAGTATCCAGATTGTTCCGAACTGCAAGTTTATCTTATATTCTTCCTACGCATAGGATAACAATTTACTTAATAGGAATATTTTTGGCCTACGTGCTTAGATATTCAAAAAACACCGACATTTCAAAGGTACCTAAATACATTTCATTAACGTTACTGTTGTTAAAGACTAATTTTAGCGCCAACGGTTTATTATATGGAGTATTCTTTATCCTGTAACTCTGTCTGCATGGCTTGGTCCAATACATATGAGCCAAAAGGACTTTAAATATAATAAAATGGAAGCAGCCCTTTATGCAGCTTTATCTCCAGTATTTTGGGGAATTGGCGTATCTTGGGTAATCTATTCCATAAACAGAGGATTTGGCAGTAAGTTTATTGTTTGATTATCAAGTTTTCAAAAATAAATTTATAATTCGTTACTACTGACATTTGTTTTAGGCTGGTTTGGCCCTCTCCTAAAATGGAAGTACTTTGTTCCATTTACTAAAATAGCTTATGCCGTTTATTTAGTGCAGTTTCCAGTATTTTTCTATAATGTGGGGAAGACAAGGCATGTAGATGAATATAAATCTTATATGATGGTAAGTTAGTTTTCTATCAAGATTATTGTTTAAACATACATTTAGATGCAGGTTGTTGAAACTGGAGTGATAGTGCTACTGTCCATTATTCTTACTCTAACTATTGAACTACCTTTTCAAAATATCAGAAAGGTGATTTTCCGGACAGGTAAGTGAAAAATATAATTAAAGATAATAAAAATTCTAAAGAACAATATTTCCACTTTTAGGTGACAAAAATATTAAAATCCAGACTGATTAAGTATTGTAGAATAGGTCAAATTATGTATTTTAGGTTATAGTTTTTTTATGAATATTATTTTTTGTTTAAAGTCTTATTAAGCAAACATTTTCCAATTAAAAGAACACTAATCTACAACTCTTATCATTTTATCTGAGAATAACAATTCTTCCTTCTTCCTCTTGAAATACGGGAGACCTGTGGCCAATATAGTCGATTAAAACATCTGTACTAAATTGACCAACTTGCAAGTTCTTAATATTTTCAGTTAACATTGGATAATTGTCTCCTCCATTCGCTACATAAGAATTAATAACTATCCTGTAGGTTTTGTTCAACTCGATATTTTCGTATACAGGAATCTCACATGACTGACAACGAAGTTTCAGCGATTCGACCCTCTCACCTTCTGGACGGGTTAGATTCATTACAACATGGACTCCTTAAAACAAATGTCGTTGTAGAAATCATGGTTCCATATTTAATAATTAATGTTTTTGGACAAGAACAAATTAAAAATTAGTACCTACTTATACATACAGCGTGGTAAAAAAGTTCTGCATAAAATTCATATTTTCGTTAAACAATTTTTTTTTCGAAAAACGGTGAGGCCCGTCGATTTTTATTTGATCCAGGGCACCTTGTTATGTGGAAAAATTTTTTTTTCGATAATCCACTTACGGCAGCGATGACATAATTTTTTTTTAAATGACAACGCATATTTTTTTCGTTCGAAATTGATGACAGTGATAATTATCTAAACAACGGTGTGAAAATTTCGATGTCTTACATAACAATTTTTTTTAGAAAAATGCACCTTAAGTTCTTGAATGCAATAATTTGCTGTTTACGGATCAAATGCCTTAGAAAAAAATTTATTCGGCAGAAAGCATTTCAGATAACTTAAGTTGCAACTGGTGTTATGTAATATTTGCGGAATTATTCATCAGATATTGTCAGGATCCTGATTAAACTGCAAAATTTAGAACCAAGTTCAACCGCACAAAATCCAAATAGTATGTAGCAAATTAAGGTCGACTTTTTGTCTTCGAGTTTGCCGATAAATTCCCCAAAAAAAAAAGATCCAAAGAAATGTTTACTTGAAAGGAGTAGATTACCTGAAATATTGAAGACTAAAAATCAGTACCGATTTAACATTCTTTGGTGAAATCGTTTAATTCGAAATGGCAAAACTTAGTGAACGCGAAAGAATTGATATTTTGAGGATGATTGGTTTCGGCGATAAGTTACGAACCCATCAAGAAGCTTGCCAATTATTTAATGCAACGTACCCTGACAGACCACCAATTACGCAATCTACGGTTAGTAGGGTACTGGCAAGGTTTGAGGAAACTGGTAGTGTGAAAGATGCTCCTCGTGCGGGTCGTCCTAGAGTAGATGATGAAACTAGATTGAATATCCTGGTGGAGCTCCAGGACAACCCTCATTCTAGTACAAGGTCGATTGCATTGAACAATGATATTTCACATGTAACTGTGGTGAACTTTCTCAAAAAAGAGAAATTTCACCCCTATAAGGGTCACTTGATACATGCATTGACTGAGGACGACCCAGACCGCCGTCTCCACTTTTGTGAAGATTTAATGCATCGATGTAACGGAGACCCCGACTTCCTCAAGAACATAATTTTTTCTGACGAGGCTACTTTTTATCTTAATGGATCGGTGCATCGACATAACTGCCGGTATTGGTCTCAGGAAAACCCGCACTGGGTGCAAGAAGTAGATCATCAGCACCCCCGAAAGGTGAACGTTTGGGCGGGAATAATAGGGCGTCGTATTTTAGGCCCGTATTTTTTCGAGGAAAATTTAACTGCTGCTCGCTATTTGGATTTCCTGCGGTTCGATTTGGTCCCAAGCTTAGCAGAGTTATTCCCGAACAACGAGGATCCTGATATTCCTGAGGAAAGAATTTGGTTTCAGCAGGATGGTGCACCGCCCCATTATGGAGTGCAAGTACGGGAGTACTTGAATAACACGTTTACTGGCCGGTGGATCGGGCGACGCGGAACAATCGAGTGGCCTCCGCGTTCGCCTGATTTAACACCTCTAGACTTTTTTTTGTGGGGCTATTTGAAATCGCGTGTGTACACAAACAGACCAGGTGATTTGGAAGAACTTAAAAACCGTATTCGTTTTGAAATAAATCAAATCGACCCGGGAATGCTTGAACGAAGTGTAGACGGCGTTTACACACGCTTAGGACAATGCCAAATGGTACAGGGTGGGCAATTCGAACAATTTCGCTAGACTTACACAAACATTAGTGTAATTTTACTCGTTTGAAATGTAATTTTGTCAACTTTGTCCTTTTCGGAGCCATTAATAGTGTAAGTAGACAATTATCACTTATAAGAACTTAAGGTGCATTTTTCTAAAAAAAATTGTTATGTAAGACATCGAAATTTTCACACCGTTGTTTAGATAATTATCACTGTCATCAATTTCGAACGAAAAAAATATGCGTTGTCATTTAAAAAAAAAATATGTCATCGATGCCGTAAGTGGATTATCAAATAAAAATCGACGGGTCTCACCGTTTTTCGAAAAAAAATTGTTTAATGAACATATGAATTTTATGCAGACCTTTTTTACCACGCTGTATATGAATGCAGAGGGTAGATTCTCAGATACTACCGATATTTTAAAACTGGAATAACAACTAAAACAGTATTAAAACTGAATATTGAAATATTAACATAAATTACTTCGTCGCTGTACAGAATGTTTTGCAAAATATCCTCACAGTATAATACAAATCAGTGAGTACGACGCCTGTTCAGAAAATAACCGAACTTTTTGAACGCGCTAATGGAGATTTATTTAGAATTTAATGATATGCGGTTGGCAGCATTGCGTTGCGCATAGCCTTCTGTGCAACCACATCTTCTTGTATCGTTGATATCTCATTTAGTTTTAGTGATATTGAAATGTTTCAACTTTTGAAACAAGTTTATGGAGATTGGTCGTACGCAATGTTACGAATGGTCATCACGATTTAAAAGTGGTTGTCAGTCAATTGAAGATGATCCTCGACCAGGAAGGCTTTCAACTTCAATTGATGACTCCTACGTTCAGAAAGTCAATTTGATGCGTGCAAATCGCCGATTGACTGTCAGGTAAATTGCAGAAGAGGTTAACATCTAAGTTGGGTCATTCCTTGAAATTTTGACAGAAAAAATCGAGTTGCAGCAAAATTCGTTCCTCGTTTGGTGACTAACAGCAAAAAGAAAATCATGTGGAAGTTCGTCGGCAACTCGTTGAACACTGCAATGACTATGAGACATTCATTCAAAGGATCATAACGGAAGACGAAAGCTGAGTTTACGGCTACGACATTGAAACAAAAGTTCAATCATCACAATGGATTGGCAAAGGATCTCCACGCCCCCCCCTCCCCCTCAAGAAAGTACGTCAGTCTCGATCCAATGTCAAAGCAATGCTCACTGTTTTTTCGACTATAATGGAACGGTGCATTTTGAATCCTTGCTTCAAGATGAGATAGTGAACCGTGTGTACCGACTAGGCATTTTACAACAGTTAGGTGAAAAAATCCGCAAAAAGATATCAGAGTTGTAGCAAGACAACTCATGGTTCTTGCACCACGACAATGCTCCCGCACACTCAGCTTTGTGAATTGTCAGTTTTGTGCAAAAAATCAGATTACCGTCCTCCCTTACCCTCCTTACTCGCCAAACCTGGCTCCTTGTGATGTGTTTGAATAGAGGAGGGGAGTAAGTTGAAAGAGACAAGGAGCAATAATGTATAAAATTAATAATAAAGCCCGATTATTTTCTGAACATATCTCGTATACATTTCTTTATAATTAGGTTTTATAGTGGTCCAAAAAAAAAACGAATATTTTTTTTCGTGTCTCTTGTGAAAATATGTTAGTTTATCATGTTTTAAGAGCCTCCTCAAAAAATCAGCTCAAAAATATTTGATTTGATTTGATATAAGATAATGATAACAATATTTCATGCTATCATGATAATAAATCATAATAAACAGATATGATCAAACAATTCAGTATTGCCAGTTTCTGTGAATTTTGTTAACTGTTAATAATACTCATGTGCCCTCGAAAAGATTGTATAGAAGTATTCACGCAAATGGCTTAGTGTTCTAAGTATTTGTACGAGTGTCAAAACAAATTTGGAAAAATCACATATCAAGTTTGCACTCGGTCACACTATACATATAAATAATTAAAAAATATGAATTTTTCTTACTGCTATAATAATATTTATATATGCACTTAATATTTAATTAAGGTGAAAAGCAGATATAATTTCTACTTCCTCTTAATAGATTTATATATATTTTGTACAGAAAAAATAGTATCAAATTGCATACTGAATTGTATAGTTCGCAATGTATTATTGTTAACTTGCCTGCAAATTGCATAAGTTTTAAGCTTTTGTCATCAGTTGAGCTATCAAAATAAGGCAGTGTATTGTATTCCAACAGTTCTTTAATATGTTTTCCTTGAATCTCGGCAACATCAAAGGTGTTGTTATAAGGTATTGCAGTACTTAGGTCATTGTAGGTAATATCTGGAAATAAAATAATTTTCGATTTAGGAAAAAATGGAAAAGACCTATGTTTTGGGAACAACTCTTTCGATTTCAAATTAATCTAAAAAATTNAAGGAGCAATAATGTATAAAATTAATAATAAAGCCCGATTATTTTCTGAACATATCTCGTATACATTTCTTTATAATTAGGTTTTATAGTGGTCCAAAAAAAAAACGAATATTTTTTTTCGTGTCTCTTGTGAAAATATGTTAGTTTATCATGTTTTAAGAGCCTCCTCAAAAAATCAGCTCAAAAATATTTGATTTGATTTGATATAAGATAATGATAACAATATTTCATGCTATCATGATAATAAATCATAATAAACAGATATGATCAAACAATTCAGTATTGCCAGTTTCTGTGAATTTTGTTAACTGTTAATAATACTCATGTGCCCTCGAAAAGATTGTATAGAAGTATTCACGCAAATGGCTTAGTGTTCTAAGTATTTGTACGAGTGTCAAAACAAATTTGGAAAAATCACATATCAAGTTTGCACTCGGTCACACTATACATATAAATAATTAAAAAATATGAATTTTTCTTACTGCTATAATAATATTTATATATGCACTTAATATTTAATTAAGGTGAAAAGCAGATATAATTTCTACTTCCTCTTAATAGATTTATATATATTTTGTACAGAAAAAATAGTATCAAATTGCATACTGAATTGTATAGTTCGCAATGTATTATTGTTAACTTGCCTGCAAATTGCATAAGTTTTAAGCTTTTGTCATCAGTTGAGCTATCAAAATAAGGCAGGGTATTGTATTCCAACAGTTCTTTAATATGTTTTCCTTGAATCTCGGCAACATCAAAGGTGTTGTTATAAGGTATTGCAGTACTTAGGTCATTGTAGGTAATATCTGGAAATAAAATAATTTTCGATTTAGGAAAAAATGGAAAAGACCTATGTTTTGGGAACAACTCTTTCGATTTCAAATTAATCTAAAAAATTAAATGTTAAAAAAAGAGCAGAAAGAAAGCAGAAAAGTCCTAATAAACAAGGGTCCGCAAAGTAACGGTTGCGGAGATATGGACCACTATTCGTTTTTCAAACATTTTATTTTATTAGGAATAAACCGACAAAGGAAGCTTTTAACAAACAAAAAACAAAGTTACAGAAGATGTTCAAAGTGCCCTCCGTCCATTTCCAAGCAGGCACGACATCTTCGTCTCAACGATATTCGAACTCTTTCGAAAACACCCTCCTTGGTTTGGATTTCTTGACACTTTTGATTAATCCGTAGCTGCAGCTCTTCCAGGCTATTTACAGGAGTACCATACACTAATGTCTTCAAATATCCCCAAACAAAGAAATCTAGAGGGTTCAGATCAGGCGATCTTGGAGGCCATAAAACAGGTCCGGCCCTTCCTACCCATCTATGTGGAAAAGTTTGGTGTAAATGCTCTCTAACGGCCATGGAAAAATGAGCTGGAGCACCATCATGCTGGAACCACATTTGTTGCCTCTGATTCAAAGGAATGTCTTCCAAAAACTCATACAGTGTGTTCTGCAGAAAGTTGAGGTAAGCAGCGCCTGTTAATCGGTTTGGTAAAACAACAGGACCTAGAAACCTGTCACCTACAATACCCATCCAAATGTTTAATGAAAAACGTGCCTGATGTCCAGATTCTATTAGAGCATGAGGATTTTCGTCGGCCCAAATATGCGTATTGTGAAAATTAAACACTCCATTTCTTGTGAACCCGGCCTCATCAGTAAAAAGAATGTTTGCAAGAAAACGAGGGTCTTCAGCATCATGACGTAGAAACCAGCGGCAAAAAACCAAACGTGCTTGATGATCATTTATTGGATTTAAGGCCTGTACTCGTTGCACATGGTATGGATAAAGCAGTTGCTCGTGAAGGATTCTCCAAACAAGAGGACCACTAATTCCTACCTCGGCTGATATTCTCCGCACACTCGTACCTGGATTCTGCTCTACCAGTGCTAGAATTTCTTCTTCTGCTCTAGGAGTGGATACCGACCTTGGTCTTCCGGATAAATGGCACTGTTTGCTCAAGGAACCGGTATCACGCAATCTTTGGTGAATTCTTCCAAACATGCGTTGTGAAGGAATCTGGCGATTTGGATAAGCGTCAACATAAAGACGTCGCGCTTCGGTGGCGTTCCCATTAGCACGACCATACATGAAATGCATGTCTGTTAATTCTGCGTTAGAGTAACCAGCCATAGCGAAAGAAAACTTGTGCACTGAGAACAACTGTCAAATACGTACTGTTTATTTCACTAAACATCAACCAACTATTATAAGAAAATACACAACGTTTTTGCAAAATAAAAAAAGGGGCTAAAAAACATAAAACATTCCATATCTCCGCAACCGTTACTTTGCGGACCCATGTTTATTGAGACTTTTCTGCTTATTTTGGTTCATACTATTACCTCCTTAAATATTTTACACTCTTTTTTAACACCCTGTATACCAAGCTTTTGTTTTTTTTCAATGAAACACCCTGTTTGTTCAATACTTGGGTTTATTTACTAACATAGTCAAGATTGCCATGGATGGGCATGTTATCCACATTAAACAAATCTTTAAACTTTCTATTAAGGAAAATATATTGTTATGAAACATGTTTTATAATACCTCCTATTCTATAAAAGAAAGACATATATTCCAATAGTGTTTTTTTTTTGCAATGCTTTGTTCTCCACCTCATTAAAAGTATGTATTAACTTCGTTCAATATTTTCTCCTTAGGTCTTTCTTTTCTTTCAGAATCCGCGTAGAAAGAATTATATTACATGGAAGTTAAATAAAGATTTCTTGCTTATCATAAAGTTATCCCTTCATAAAAATATTTGTAAAAAAATCCATTGTTTAGAACACGATAAGTTTATTAAGGATCAGATATCCTTTCTCGGAATAAAATATTAAATGATACGTTTAAGTAAATATCATTGTAAACAGAGAAAGAAGAGGATTCCAAAAAGCGACAAATATTCAGGGTATTTTATTTAAACAAACAAAAGTTTGGCATATACCTATAGGTAGCTTTAACATCGCAAGAGATCTTTCCAAAACTTTGGTGTTTCCTATTTTATCCTAGATAGTAAGGAAAAAAGATAAGGGATGTAAAATGTTATGTAAATGATCTTGTACATAGTATTCTTAGTAATTTAAATTTTTGAAAACGTAATTACTTACTTCCAATAATTATATTGGTTCTCATACTTCCTGAGGATACAATAGCAATGGAAGCGAAAGTCCATGACCCTTCCTCAGCTTTGTCAGTCCACTAAAAGTTGTTAACAGTGTTCCTATTTCATTAATATGCATACATATAACACTAGTTGCTAAATATTAAAATGCAATAAATATACAATGTGTTTTCTAAGTCCATGTCATAACGTAAAGGGAATATTTTCTGGCTCTAGGCTCTAAAGTCGCTTGTTTTCCAGATCCAAGGTGTTGAGTTGTTATATTTACTTAAATATCTCTGAATATGTCTTCCGTAAATAGATAACATTTGGGCTAACAATATATTTAATTAAAGACAGTATTTCTCTGAATTGAGTTACAAATATTAGTGACAGTGCCTCTTAGTACCTCCATTGACATATTTATTTATCAGTTTATAGAATGTTGACCACAAATAATGTGATATTTTTTTAAATGAAATTATCAAACTAAACTGATGTTACGACATAGACTCAGAAAACATTCTGTACCTCTTTTATATTTTTTAAATAAAGTCGTATGTCGTTGTGAGTAGAATTGAAAAAGTTTTAAAAATGAGGTGTCACTCAACATAGGAAGCCATTTAAAGTTTAGGGGTATTTTATATCCCTGCTTAAGGGGTAACTTCCAAGACACCAACACTTACGCCATCACGTGTCACGTGTTTGAAACGAAAATCGACGTGTTTCAGTTTTTTTTTTAATTCCGATATTTTCCAGGTGGGAAGTTTTAATTTGAACACCCTGTATGTAAGTACTATCTACTGTAAATAATATCATAAGTAAAAATTTTCAAATATCGTGCGAATGGTAGACCAGACTGGAAAATACTATTGTTGTATGAGTTTACGTACTGAATAAACCATAGCATCTGCCACCAAGTTTCCAAACGTACATTCTGCGTATCTGCACTTGCTCATGTCTAGAGTAACTAGACTTGACCCCAGCACGGTACCACCCATAGCATCTACCATCTCTTTCCAGGGGAGCAGGTCTTTATTAATTTGTTCATCTGAAAATTTAAGTTAGGGCCAATCTCTTTCAACTGTCGATTAAAAATTGTTGGTTAAATCTATGTTTGTCTCATTCTTATACATTATATGTTTCTCTAGGAGAGAAATAGTTTAATTAGTAAATAAATTTATTATCTAATCTGATCTAAGTCCCTTAACCAAATGCTAAATTTAAAGATATTCACGTATCATTTAATGATGTGCTTAATCCGCTGGTTAATCAAAAACAAATATTTGCAAAATACACAAACAAAAGATATCTAAAAGGTTTAAATATTTAAAAGGTTTTTTAGGGGTATCAGTGAGAATGGGATCCAGCCGTACAGAAGAATAAAATAGTCTAGGAAATATATTTTACATCATATGTAAGGTATAACTAGCGTTGTCTACGGATAAATTAATTATTATATTGATAAAGGCTTGGTGAAGTGGTTGTCCAAATACTGACAAAATTCGATGAAGTTGTGTGTTCCTTTCTTAATTAAGTATTCTGTATACAATATTTACCTTGCAAAAGATTGCTGCCTAGAAAAATTGGTACACCAGAATAGTCTATAATTTCTCCAAGATCATCCAGAAATATAGTTATATTTCCCAAGTACCGGCAGAAGCATGATGCTTGAACAACGAGAACATTTTTGCCGGTTTTGCTTCGGACAATGGTTGGGTATGGTCCTTTGACTGGTTCAGGCCCAGGAGGGTTTTCTAAATTTAAATCGTTGGTAATTTATTTTTACTAGGAATAATAGAAAAAATATCTACCTGAATTATTTTATCAGATACATGAATAATTTTGGCAACACTCATTACCTTTTTTCGTTAGTGGAAGAGTTCCTTCAGAAATCTTGGACATTGCTATTTATACACAGTAGAATTTTGAAATGCATTTCGGTGGTTTTTAAAATTGTCGTCTTAGCTTTATAGACTCCCTTTATATATACCAGGTGTTTCAGTTGTATTCTTCTAATGGCATATCTCCATTACTTAAAAACGATAAATTTCAACCTAAACTTCTTTAAATTGAGCCTAAAATTGAAGTTAAAGACGTACATATCCCAAATACGAAGCACTTTACACGTATGGCTTCAAATTTAGCGACATGTGGGGCCTTCTAAAAAAACAAACTTATTTTAAAAGAAAGACTGCTACTGATGAAGAGCAGTGTTGCTGTTTGGGGCAGTGTGTTTAATAATCCATATAATTCGAAAAATTGAAGCAGAATGCGATATCTCTCGTTCAACGAATCCTAAAGTTAGGTAAATTCAGATCTTTCAAAATCCACCTGCATCAAGGATTACAACCAGGAGATTATGACAGAAGACTGAGGTTTCTTGTATGGGTAGCGTCTGCTTATGAAGCCGTTTTCATAATAATTGAACTGTCAATCGACACAATTGCTTTTATTGGTCTGTAGATAATCTTCATTGGATGAGAGAGACTAAATTTCGAAGAATTTGGGGCATTAACGTATGGTGTGGCATGATCGATGGGTACATTGTCGGACCAAAGTTTTATGAAGGAACATTAACTAGTGAGGCATATTTAGAATACGTTCAGAGCGAATTTCCAAGTTTTATTGATAATGTTTCGCTGAATACGTGCCAACATGTTTTTTCAGCATGATGGGGCACACCCCTCACAATTCTAGATTGTAATTGCAAATTTTTCTTAACAGGTGAATAGGACAAATAAAATGGCCTGCAGAAGCACCCGGTCCAACGCAGTTAGATAATTTTCCATGGGGAGATTTGAAGGATAGTAGGATACTGTATACCAGTCGTCTCCTGCAGACTAAAAAAAAAATATAATTCGGAATAAGTGTGGAGCTCTTAATGCCGAATTATTAAAAATGTTACCTCTGACGAACTTTTGCATCGAGGCGAGTGTTGCATTTAATCAAATGGACGTTCTGAACATTTTCTTTAGCATCTATTCTGTTGTTCACGATTAGTCTTTGGTGTCAAGAGAATCATAAATACAGTTAAAATAAAAAAAGTTACGATGGTTTTCAGTTAAACCAGAGGTGAAAGAATTTTAATATTATGGAAATATTCCATTGGAACAATACAACTGAGACACCTGGTATAGGTCATAGATTTCTTAAGAGATTATTATTCCTCCCATATCATAAATGCGATAATTCAAATAAAAAAAATGTGATGTCGGGACTAAAAATGACCAGTTCTTGAACCGGAATTAATATGTTTCCATCGTTGACGCAATATTTATTATTATTATTATTATTATTATGATTCATTTTATCAGTTTTAATCACTTATGTTTTACACACAAATGATCACAACAGAATAATTCACATAAATATTATCTGTCAAAAGTAGCTAAGGCAACATTAAATTATTGTTTTCAAAGCCTCCTTTGTAAATCTTAAAAATCAGTTTAAAGCAGCGTTAACGCATGAAAATGTTTGAAGTCGTTTTTCTCAGAAACGGTTCATTTTATTGGTTCAGAAAGACNTTTAATTACCTCCAGTGTATAAAAATGTGTGTGTATGGCCACCAACTACGAGGCTGATCTTTTCTGAAGCATTAGCAGCAATCTTTTGATCCACATCATATCCAGCATGAGAAACAACAATATTAGTGAAAACTCCCTCCTCTTTTACCAAACGTTCCGCCTCTGCGTTAACGCTAGGTGATTCTAAGTAAAAGTTCAGATTGCCCGTGGCGGCAATTTGCTAAAAATAAGTGTTTTAGAATCCTCTGAAAGTGTGTAAAATAATTATCCTACTTTAATATTGCATATTGTAAACCACAATCTTATTCGGTTGGTAATATAAGTTAATATATTTAGTGTGCTTTAGATATATTTAGAATTGTTCTGATTCATCAATCAAGTACTATACGAATGTACAGTTGATATCAGAGATACAAAAAGAAATTCATATGAAAATATTGTCTATGATTCATGATTAAGTAAGTTTCAGCCGGATTATCTGTTTTACAGATTCGACAAAACAAACGAACACATAAAATTGATTTATAATAAATAAGTTGAGATGGGTCCAAATTAGCTAATCGTTGTCAATTAAACAAGGTTTATTTTTTATTGGTTTTAAGTGAGTGCATCGTCGGAAAAATTTGTAACTTACGTCAACAGATGAAATGATGACTCCTATTATCCCAATTTTTTTTCCACCCCTCTCAATTACCGTGCTTTTGTTGTACAGTCCTTGAATTGTAGGTTCCAAACTATCGTTCATGTTAGAGACGACTATCGGACTCTTTAGTGTCTTCATAAATGAGTTTAGACCTTCAATATTATCATCAAATTCGTGGTTTCCTAAAACCTAAATCATTGAAATTTTATTAATTTAAATCATAGATATCAATACTGATTGATATTTACTGTGGCATCAAATGGAAGTTTGTTTAAGAATTCCTGGGTGACATTCCATTTTCCCAATGTGTACCAAAGGGTGCCTTGGAAATTATCACCTGCATTTAGTAGAATCGAATCTGGTCTTTCAATTAAAAGATCCTTAATTTGCCTGTAAAGTCGAGAAAAACCTCCAATACATTTTCCCTTCTCTTTGCAAACGCCTCCCGAGTCACTAGTTTCGTCAAATCTGAAATATTAATGTTGCTCATATACAAAGTATTTTTTTAATGCTTGCCTGATTAATTTGGTATGCAGATGTAAAAGAACACGTGCAATCTGATGATGACAATATAACAGGAACTTTTTTTAATTGCAATTCGTTCTTACAATTACAGTGATATAAGATTTGATGAATCTATCTCCAATAACACGATAAATATAGTCACAAAACTGTCATAATAGTCGCGTCGTTATAATATTTGAACATTGATGAATTGATGTCCGCTATTTTATTGTTGAAATGTGCTGAAGAAGGCAGTAGATAAGACGTCTCATCTCGTGAGTCAACTTTTTTCATTAGCAACATTGTCTTTTTTAAACAATTTGGGTCGAAAATCAGTTTTTCCAATGTATTGGAAAAACTGTTGATTTTAGAGACGAAATATGCACAATAAAAAGCCTCAAAATGCCGCCTGATAGATTAAAATCCATTAAATTGTTTAAAAGTTATTGCAAAAAAAAACATCAAAAAAACGTGGAAAAACAGCATTTTTTTAATTATCCATAACTTGATTGTTATTTATTGGAATTTTATAAATATGCCTAAAAGTTGTGAGTTTTACTGTTCTTCAAAACTGTACGAAAGATGGTCGCTGTGGGCTTAATAGTTTTTGCAAAATTCTATTTATTTATCTCGTCAAGGGCAAAAATGCATAACTTTAATCTTCTCTTTGATTTTTACAGAGGCGTTGTGATTTTTTTAAAAACTCGTCTTTAAAAGGGCGTAGGAACATTTTTTTTAAATGTGTTTTTAACTGGATATACAGATACTTTTTATAATTAAATATTATGCATGGTTTTGGAGATAATCTAAATGTTTATAAAAAAACGTCGTAAAAATCAATAGTTTTTCCAATATATTGGAAAAACTGAGTTTCGATCCAAATTGTTTGAAAAAAAAACAATGTTGCTAATGAAAAACGTTGACTNTGCAATTCGTTCTTACAATTACAGTGATATAAGATTTGATGAATCTATCTCCAATAACACGATAAATATAGTCACAAAACTGTCATAATAGTCGCGTCGTTATAATATTTGAACATTGATGAATTGATGTCCGCTATTTTATTGTTGAAATGTGCTAAAGAAGGCAGTAGATAAGACATCTCATCTCGTGAGTCAACTTTTTTCATTAGCAACATTGTCTTTTTTAAACAATTTGGGTCGAAAATCAGTTTTCCCAATATATTGGAAAAACTGTTGATTTTAGAGACGAAATATGCGCAATAAAAAGCCTCAAAATGCCGCCTGATAGATTAAAAATCCATTAAATTGTTTAAAAGTTATTGCAAAAAAAAAACATCAAAAAAACGTGGAAAAACAGCATTTTTTTAATTATCCATAACTTGATTGTTATTTGTTGGAATTTTATAAATATGCCTAAAAGTTGTGAGTTTTACTGTTCTTCAAAACTGTACGAAAGATGGTCGCTGTGGGCTTAATAGTTTTTGAATAATTCTATTTATTTATCTCGTCAAGGGCAAAAATGCATAACTTATCTTCTCTTTGATTTTTACAGAGGCGTTGTTATTTTTTTAAAAACTCGTCTTTAAAAGGGCGTAGGAACATTTTTTTTAATGTGTGTTTTTAACTGGATATACAGATACTTTTTATAATTAAATATTATGCATGGTTTTGGAGATAATCTAAATGTTTATAAAAAAAGTCGTAAAAATCAATAGTTTTTCCAATATATTGGAAAAACTGAGTCTCGGTCCAAATTGTTTGAAAAAAAAACAATGTTGCTAATGAAAAACGTTGACCCACGAGATGAGGTATCTTTTCTACTACCTTCTCTTGCACATTTTAACAATAAAATAGCAAACATCAATTCATCGATTTTTTTTTTAGTTCATTTACTGCTATACTGTATATTAGGTCGTACACACAAACTTAGGTCACGTTGATGCTTTTCAACTAATGATGTTGTGAGAAACAACAACTTTGCGTGTTATATACAATATACAGTGTATCCGCGGATGGGGTACCGCACCCTTGTAAACCATTTTTGTTGTTGACTTTTTCGAGAAAAAGTTATTCTTGATAAAAAGTTTTGCTTATCTTGGGAAGACACGGGCAGTAATCAAATATGTAATAAAATACAGGGTGTCCCGGAAATGGTGGGCAATCTCTCGGATATGGATAGATAATGAGAAAATAATGTCACAAGTTCATATAAAATTTTTTCCTCTGGGCTCACCCTGTAGAGTTATTAGCTCTTGAAGTTGAGAAGTAAAAATGTTTTTTTTGCTATAGCTTTTGTATTTTTCAATAAATTTTGAAAATTTTTTGGGTGGATCTATAATTTTTGAAGCTGCTTTGGATGATAATATGAAATCCTCGATAATAATTATGGGGGCCCGGGGGCAAAGCACCCCCCACCAAAATTTCTAGAAAAAAAATTTTTGTTCCACTATACCCCAAATTTTCCATCATTTTATAAAAATTTATGGTATTTTACGTAAAAAAGGTATACTTGTTGAATATCCATAAAATAGATATTTTTTGAGATAAACCCGTTTAAAGAGGAAGGTACCATTTAATTTGAGACATTTTATTTAATTGAAACACAGATTTAATCGTGGTTGGCTTTGACATGTCAGAGTATGCCAAAGGCAATTAAATTGTCAAACTTGTCAAATACGTAGTTTTAAATCTAAGACTCATCTCATAACTCATAATTTGTTATAAAATATGGAGTATTCCAATGAAGAATATGCTGATATGCATTTAATGTACGGGCGGGCTCTTTGTAATGCTTCGGCAGCAAGAAGATTTTATCAGCATTCTTATCCTAATAGAAGGATTCCGGATCGCAAAACTTTCGAACGTATTGATCAAAGATTAAGAGAAACTGGTAAAATACGATTACTATTATTAAACAAAATGGATATTAAATAAATTTTAATGTCTTTAGGTCAGTTTGCTCCTGTTACTGCAAACAGGGGTGCCCCGCGAACAGCACGTACAGTTGAAGTAGAGGAAAATATACTGGACGAAGTTGCTGCTCATCCAACAGTTAGCATTAGGTCATTATCTTCTTTTACCAATGTTCCAAAGACCACTGTTGCAAGAATCCTTAGAGAACAGCTTCTTCACCCTTACCATATCCAAAAAGTGCATGCTCTTAATCCTGATGATTTTCGTGCAAGAGTACAGTTTTCTCAATGGTTTCTTCAGAGACATGAGCAAAATCCTATGTTTACGAGATTAATTCTGTATACTGACGAAGCAAGTTTTGGGAGGAATGGAGTTATTAACTCCCATAATTTACATTATTGGTCTGATGAGAACCCACACGCTATTATTGAAACTAGGCACCAAAGACAATTTTATGTTAATGTTTGGAGTGGAATTATTGGTCCTTACTTATTGGGTCCATTTGTGTTACCCCCTAGACTGAATGGTCAACGTTACCTAGATTTCCTTGTGCATCAATTACCACAACTGTTAGAAGATGTTGATCTTGAAACCAGAAATGCACTGATATTCATGCACGATGGGGCGCCGCCTCACTTTAGTGCTGCAGTAAGGGACCATTTAAACGAGGTATATCCTAATCGCTGGATAGGTCGCGGTGGACCTATTCATTGGCCTGCCCGAACTCCAGATATGAACCCACTTGACTTTTTCTTTTGGGGGCACTTGAAAAATCTTGTTTATTCCACACCTGTAACCACTAGAGAAGAATTAGAAGAAAGGATTTTTTATTGTGCAAATGAAATACGACAAAATCCTGAAATGTTATGGAGAGTGCAACAGTCTTCTGTTAAACGAGCTCGTATTTGTATAAGAGAAGGTGGAACTAATATTGAGAATTTATTATGAATTATATTAGTTACAAAATTTTGATTGTCATGCACTTTTCGTTTAGTTAGTTTAGTTAAGTCCAAATTCTCATAATTTGGAACACTGCTATTGCAAATTATTTGTCCTTTATTCTGATATGTAAAAGCCAACTACGATTAAACCTGTGTTTCTGTTAAATAAAATGTCTCAAATTAAATGGTACCTTCCTCTTTAAACGGGTTTATCTCAAAAAATATCTATTTTATGGATATTCAACAAGTATACCTTTTTTACGTAAAATACCATAAATTTTTATAAAATGATGGAAAATTTGGGGTATAGTGGAACAAAAATTTTTTTTCTAGAAATTTTGGTGGGGGGTGCTTTGCCCCCGGGCCCCCATAATTATTATCGAGGATTTCATATTATCATCCAAAGCAGCTTAAAAAATTATAGATCCAGCCAAAAAATTTTCAAAGTTACAGCAAAAAAACCATTTTTAATTCTCAACTTCAAGACCTAATAACTCTACAGGGTGAGCCCGGAGGAAAAAATTTTATATGAACGTGTGACATTATTTCCTCATTATCTATCCATATCCGAGAGATTGCCCACCATTTCCGGGACACCCTGTATATAGGGTGTCAAAAAAATTTCAAAATGTGAAATTTTTCTTAAGCAAACTGTCTTTAATTTTTGTTTTCGTTAAAAACTGTATTTAACAAAGCCGTTTGAAAACTCAAAAATGCTTAAATACGGGGTTTAGTCAAAAAAGAATTATATGGCATGTAAGGTAGTTAAAAATTATGGCGTTCTTTGCAAAATGTGACTAAACTCCGTATTTAAGGATTTCTTGAGACCTCGAACAACTTTGTTAAATACAATTTTTAACGAAAACAAAAATTAAAGGCACTTTACTTAGAAAAAATTTCACATTTAGAAATTTTTTGAACGCCCTGTTTCTTAAGAACCCATGGGGACCCATGTTTATATGAATTTTTTATCTTAAAATTTGTTCAAGTACTTAAGTACTCTACCCTGTATAATGTTAAATAAAATATTCATTTCCCTCATTAATTTAAAAAAATTCATTTTTACAAACTTTGAAACTTGTCTTATACCTAAACCTATAAAAGACTTAATTTTTATGGAAATATAATAATAAAAAAAATAACTCGCATCTAAGTATGGGAAATCCTTTTATTAAAGTACCTAACTAAATCAACATATCTTAACAATACAGTTTATTATCATTTATAGCTATCTCTTTTATTTAATGATGTTATATCTTTATCGAAGGTTAATGTTTATTCACGCATCTGCTTAGTACTTCCGTGTTGCTAAACCTTAGAAAATAATTAGCACTGGCCTTCTGTTTATGTATCACTGAATTCATTACATGACGTGGTACCATTTTTAAATAAAATAATTATGATGGCAAGCAACAATGGAACTACATATTTTGTCAACAATGATTCGTTTTGAGATATATCATTTATTATAATTGTCGAACTGACGGAGCTATTCAAAATAACTTTGGTACACATTGTACCTGGGGCCGCTGTAACATGCCGCAATATCAAGTCCCCTAAGCAACCAGTGGTGGAGATATGAGCTTAAACTAATCAAACTGTACCTGTATTAGGTAAAATTTCCACCTGCAGCTTTTTTATTCTTTCACTTTATCGTTCCAATGAAGTAATGGGAACTTTATATACTTTTCATTCCTTCCTGTCCTAAGCTGAAAAATCGAGTAATGTCAGATCGGGTGAGCGGGGTGATCATGGAATTGGTCCTCCTCTTCCCCAAAATAGTCGTCCAGCCAATGTTGAATATTACCCATCCATTTGAATCCAACAATCCTGTAGTAAATTTGAAGGAATATCTAATCGAATGAATAAATCATTACCAAGAAAAGACCAAATTTTACTGAAAAGTATTTACTTTTACTTCACAAATAGTTTTCAGTGAATCCAAGCTACACATTTACATGAAACTCGCGAAAATTTGTGGATTTTTGTCGTTTCGTTCTATGGCTACCATGCTCAACAGATCTGACACCCCCTGATTCATATATTTGGGTCTGGATGAAGCAAAAACAGCAAGAAGTTCCCAATTATAGACCAATTTGCTGTCTTAGTGCAGCGGGAAAAGTTTTGAGTTTTTTTTACCCGTTAGAAAGAATATTTGGTTGTCGGATTATTTTATTGATAATATTAAACTTGAAGGAGTAAAGACAGTGAAGGATTTGGGAGTAAAATTTGATTATGAATTGAAATTCACTTCTCATATTGAAGATTTATTGAGCAAATGTTTTAGAGTGAGTGGTTTCATTAAACGACAAACTCGGGACTTCACTAATATTACTTCTTTTTTCTTTTATATAACTCTCTAGTGCGTTCAACTTTGGAATATTATTGTATTATTTGGAATCCACATTTTGCCAATCATGTAGATCTTTTGGAGCGTATTTAAAAGAAAATATGCTATTTTCTGATCATTAAACTGAATATTAATAAAGATGATTATGAATATAGTGAAAGATTACATCTACTTAGTATTCAATCTCTAAAATGTAGGAGACACTGTTCTTATTTAATATTTGCTCATAAACTTTTTCATAACAGAATAAATTGTAGTGAAATATTATCATTATTTAATATAAGAGTGCCAAACTACACTACCAGGTCAAATTCATTTCTCTATTTAGATCAGTCTCGCACTAATGTTGGATTATATTCTCTCCCATTAATGAAATTAGTAAGGTGGTTAATGCGCTGCAAACAGGATTTTGATATCCTTGAGGCATCGTGGTGTCAACTTTCTAAGTTCATAAAAGAACTCAATTAGTTTAGTACTTGTAAATGATGATTGTCTAGTAGTACTTATTTTTTATAGTATTTGTTAAGGTACTGTTTATTGTAAATATTTTTTTGAACAACTGTTATTATTTCGACTGTATCATTTGGGTTTCCTGTAGATACAAAAATTGAAATAAATAAATAAATAAATAAATTACTATCGTGGAACAATTAAATGGACGAATCAGAGAAGCTGCAGGGGAAATAAAAAGTAGTGGGTATCAGTTTAGAAAGGTTCGCAATCGATTTAATTTGCGTATTGAAAAATGTTTCTTTTTTGATTTCTTCCTTAAAATATTCAAATTAAATGGAAATACTTAACCAAATAGTAATAAACGGCGGAATAGTAAATCCGGTAAAAATGGGAAATATAGAAAACCGAATTTACTGTAAAACTGTGACAGAAAGATAAAAAATTTTAAGAAACTTTGTTTACTTCAGTTTAAAAGCTTTACCGAAAAATGTGAATTATGTATGTATGATTATTATTATTACTTTCTAATTAATTGAAGATGTAAATCATATCTCCGTCACAGGTTGTTTAGGGGATTTGATATAGCCGTACGCTACGATGGTCCACTCAGGTAAAATGTGTAGCAAATTTGTTGATGAACTCCGTCAGTTTGGAAAATGCCGCCTACTCCCCTAGAAATTTTCATGGTAAAAAAAACATTTAAAATTTATTAAAAAGGAAATGTTAAACTTGTAATGTGCAGTCAATTTAGTTTCGTTTGGAAAATCCGTTTGCAAAACACTTAATACGTAGGCCCCTCATAGCTCGCCTCTACATCTGCAAAGTGTTTACAGCGGTGGTCATGGTTATCGTCACGCAGCAGTGAAAGACGGAGCATTAGTGGCGCATTTACCATGCAGCTTGGGCTCTGTTTATTCCGACCATAAGCAAATAATAGCTGTTAATAAACGTAATTTGTTTAGGAATAGGTAAGTAGTATAAAATTTTGTTACTTTCATATTGTTTCGGACAAAAGCAGAAGAATGGACTTTCACTATAAAAAATAATGTTGGGTACATTTTCCCTGTATTTCAATAGTACTTAAAATATAACTACCCAATTATATTTGATTTTTTTTTCAATACTTTGTACCTAAATTTTTCCTTCGCCCTCTCTGGTATGGAAGAACCGCCACTGTTTTTGAAGAAATGTTATTTTTATAATTTTTATCACGTATATATGTAATAAAGTAAAATATAAATTTTGGTTAAGAAAATGGATTATTATATTTTGATTATTTCTCATTCACATTTCTTGTACTGAATATGTGATACGTTGTAAACATGTTTACTGCTGGAAATTTAAATTCAGAAAAAGAGTTCGTTTATTAACACCTACTGAAAAGTGTTAATAGAATTAACTAATATACTCTCTTTTATTCGATTTGTTATTTTACATATTTACTACAATTTTTCCTACCTTGCATGAAAATCATTAACATGAATCACTGATAGATTGAATCTGGTTTCACTTCGAGCGGTAGTACAACTCAGCACATAAGTTAATGGTAGCAAAAGAAAAATGTACTGTAACTTCAACATAATTTGAGCGATTTTGTATTCACGGCGATACAATCGACTGCCAACAATAAATGAATAAGATTGAGTGTTCAGTTCCTCTTATTTTGATACAAAGCTCTTAATAGATCTTGATAATGAGTAATGTGGGAATTTTCTTTAACCTCTTGAAAATTATACGTACCTATAATACATGATAAATGTTCTAGATTGTAAGCAGTATTTGTGCGTTGCAAACTAGAATATGCATCGATTGTTTGGTGTTCTATTATAATGTTTATAATATTCAACTAGAGAAAGAAAAATCTACAATATTATAAATTCAGATTTATTAGTTTCAAATATTTTACATCATGTTCCTAGATTTCACTGTACTTTATAATTACTCACATACAAATTTACTAATGTCCCCCTATATCAATTGATTTCCAATTATCAGAAGTATAGACTTGATATATTTTTTTATTTTGTGAATTAAGAAATGTTTGTTAGTAAATGTTACCCTAATTTTGTATAATATATAAGCTTATTTGCTTTATTTGTGTGTTTTTGTTTGTATTTAAGTTCTCCTGCCTCTCGATTTTATATTTTGAATGAATGAATGAATGAATGAATGAATGAATGAATGAATGAATGAATGAAGGAATGAACGAACGAACGAACGAACGAACGAACGAACGAACGAACCAACGAACGAACGAACGAACGAACGAACGAACGAACGAACGAATGAACGAACGAACGAACGAACGGACGAACGAACGAATGACTGAACGAACAAATAAATAAATAAATAAATAATAAACTGAAATAAATAAATAATAATGTATAGTGTTCACGAGTTTTTTCCTTAATTATTAGGAAATATTAAAATCTCAATCATCGATCTTGGTATCCAAAGGATATGCCTCAATTAGTTTTGAATTACACAACAATTACATAGAGTAGTTTCCAGCAATATTAGAGAGATAATGCAATAATAATTTAGCAAAGAATAATAATAAAAATTAAATGCAACTTTTCTGATTTATTTGCTTAAATTTTTAATTTGATCAGTAATAAAAAATTGCAAAAATGTACACATTATTCATTCGAATTTAATAGAATTTATTAGATTTGCACCTATCTAAAAATAACAATTCTTTCTTCTTCTTCTTGAAACACGGGAGACCTTTGGTTGATATAGTCAACTAAAACATCCGTATCGATTTGACCAACTTGCAGGTTTTTCATGTTCTCAGTAAGCACCGTATAACCATCACCTCCATTTGAGAGATAAGAAGTAATAACCATTCTGTAGGTTTTATTCGCATCTAAGTTCTCGTAAAGAGGAATATCACATGCCTGACAGCGAATTTTCAACGACTGAACTCTTTCTCCTAATGGGCGTGTCAAATTCAGTACCACATGGATTCCTAAAATTACAGATGTACCTATATATTGTTTTTCTCGTCCAAATTTAAGAATATCTTCATTTATAAAATTTGCTTTCGATTATTTCATTTATGAGATATACAGGGTGTTACAAATATGTAAACAAAGAGTACTTCAAAACATAAGGAAACTTGTCCGGAAACGCTTTGTATCCCAGGTATAGGGTGTTAAATTTTTTAGAAAACAATCTGCCTTTGTTTACATCTTCCAAACGGGTTGATCAAATCAATTCAAATTTGGTTTAGGATGCTACCAAATAAGTCTACACGATTTGATTATGACTGTAATAAATGAATTGATTCAAGGCTGGATATTCATTGAAATGTTCGCAAACATAGTAGCATTTCATGCGAGAGCAAGACACATTACATAGAAAAGGTATTTTTATTCCTTTTCGATAGAAAACAAACTTTTTGAAGGTATATACATGAAAACACAAAATTTGCCTTAATAAAGAACAAATTTAATTAAATATATGCCTCTGTTTTCGGAAACCTAATGTTACCTTTTAAACTTTATAATTTTTTGTTTGTTGCTTGTTACTTGAAGAAATGCCACTGAATGCGATCCATGACAATGGTGTTGCTCCTCATTTCTTATTATCGGTTTGGGAATATGTACTTTAATGAAATTTACGAACAAAAGTGGATTGGATGTGGTGGATTGGTAGAATGGTTACTTAGATCGCCAGACATAAATATGCTGGACTTCTTTATTTGATGTAAACAGAACCAGTCGAGAACTAACGTTTTCCACAATAGCGAATATAGGAAGGGTACAACACAATAGTACAATCTTTGATATTTGAAAGGGTACGCAATTTATTTTTAAGAAAATGTAAAGCTTGCGTTGACATGGAAGGAAAACATTTGAACACCTACAATAAAAAAACATGTATTTTTCGTGAAATAAAAATGTACAGCCGCTCAATTTAATTTATCATCCAATTTTTTTAATTCGTCGCATCCCATATGGAATAAATTTATAAATCCTTCTTTTTTTGATAACATTTAAAGGTGACTTCGACAATTTGTGTTAACATGCGCATACCGTACCAAATTTAAATTGATTTTAGTCAGACCATTCGGAAGATATAAAAAATAATATTTTTTTTTTTACGAGAACTTTAATACTCCGTATTTCGAAAACGAACATATTTTCCTATAATTTTGTTTGAGCACACTTTGTTTTGAAAAATTTTTTCACTTCTAACATATTGCATGATTTTCAAGTTAAAAAATGTCATAATCTCGGCAGAAATCAAGATACTGTTACGAAATTTTTTGTGCACAATCTATAGGTGAGACGATATTGAAGTCCTAACTTAAGCCTTCGGCTTCACTAGATACATTTCCCTCAAAAATTATGGCGTTTTATTACAATTTGATCATCCTGTATACAGAATGATGTAAACGTGGATAGAAGAAAATCTTACTCAGTGGGCCTATTTTAGGGAAAGTGAAATGACAATTTGATAAATTATTCTCTGATTTAAAAACAGAGTAAATTATCTGAAGTACTCTATATTCCTACTTCAGGCTTCATTTAGCAACGTCTTTATTTATTTGAAATGTCAGGGGGTGTGAAAATGCCTACTTCTGAGTGAGAACTTCAGTAATTCAAATTGACAATTCTTAATGCTTTTAATTTTGAATTAAGTTCACAGATCTTTTTGGAATGTAGTATAATATTTTGTAAATATAGCAAACATTGCCTTTTGTAACATTTTATAAATATTCTTTAAAAATGATTTAATATGACATTGACATATACATTTTCAAGGTTATGTGATATAAATCCAGACCAAATTATTAAGAACACATGGCGGGTTTAGGGATTCTGATAGCAACTTCACCGTCACAGAACCTAGACCGAGAACAATAAGGGCAGGTCTTAGATTTCTACCTAATGCTAAGAAAGTGCAATATCTGTAACTGGCAAAGATCTGGTAAATAAGTCACGCGTACTTTAATTATCAATTACTCCAGTTTTCTAGATTACTTAGTACATGCTTTCAAACAACATTAAAGAATTTCTTGTTTATGATTTATAACTTACCAGAAAACTGCATAAGTTTTAAGCTAGTGTCGGTTGCTTTATCGAAGTATGGCAAGGCATTGTACTCTAGCAGTTCTTTGATATACTTTCCTTCAATTTCAACAACATCGTAGGTGTTCTTATAAGGTACTGCTATAATCAGATCGTTATAAGTAATGTCTGAAACATACAATATTTTTATAGAAACATGGTGTTGTTGTGTATGATCCAATTTTCAATTAATAGTTAATTGTAGGTACATTAAAGTCCTCCAAATGAAATTAGATGTATATTTTATGTAAGTGGTATTTGAAAATTTAGAATATTAATTCAATTACTGTGTCGCTTACTTCCAATAGCTATGTTAGTTTTGATTCCTCTAGGTGCTACAGCGGCTATGGAAGCATAAGTCCATGATCCTTTCTCAGCTTTGTCTGTCCACTAGAAAAAATGTAAGTACAATACAGGGGTATTCAGTGCGACTGTACAAAATAGTCCTTTTGTCTAAGATCCAACGAAACTCGAGAGCAAACTGTCTCGGAACCTAGTATTTTTCGGTATAATTCAGCAAATTTTGAAAACAGTCATTACACTTTTGTAAGGACAATTCTTTTCAAAACTTCTAGATAATTTCTGTTTTCTACTTTGTAATTCACTTTAATTAAATGCAAAATAGTTAATAATTGTCAAAATATTTGTGGATGAGTTTACTTACAGAATAAACCATGGCATCTGCAATCAAGTTCCCAAATGTACATTCTGCATATTTGCATTTACTTATATCTAAAGTAACAAGACTGGACCCTACTATAGCGCCACCTTCAGCATCTACCATCTGTTTCCAAGGCAATAAGTTTTCATTGATTTGTTCATCTGCAAAGTGAATTTTATTAGAAGGCCGTCAATTTTGGTTAAACACAAAATTAATCAAGATACTTTATATTAGTTATTGGGATCGAGACTAAGTACATTATGAGTGACTTAAGCCCTACACTTAATTTTACAAAATGAAGTATGGTTTCTTGATATTTTATTTTTTCCACAAACGACAAAGTACTTATCGACATATATCATTAAAGATGATTGTGTGTTTACCTTGGGGCAGACTGCTATCTAGAAAAATTGGTGCGCCAGAATAGTCCACAATTTCTCCAAAATCATCTAGAAAAATTGTTATATTTCCCAAGTATCGGCAGAAGGAAGATGCTTGAACAACGAGAACATTTTTACCGTTTTTACTTTTCACTATCGTTGGATAAGGTCCCTCTACGTTTTCAGGACCTGGAGGATTATCTGAAATTTACAGATGCAGAAAAAATGCAGAATGTCTATGTTTTTAATAAGAAGTTGGAACATATTTTTTGGTAAATTTTCTATTTAAATGTAAACTAATGTCTGGAAAACATTTAAAATTACCTCCAGTGTATAAAAACGTATGTGTGTGACCACCAACGATGAGACTGATCTTTTCTGAAGCATTAGCAGCAATCGCCTGGTCTACATCGTATCCAGCATGAGAAAGTACAATATTAGTGAAGACTCCCTCTTCTTTTACCAAACGTTCTGCTTCTGCGTTAACACTAGGAGATTCTAAGTAAAAGTTTAAATTTCCTGTATCTGCAGTTTGCTATAAAAATCAAGTATTTCGAGGTGTCTTTTGAACGAATAAAGAATTATTATTTTAGATATGTATTTCCGATACTTGTTGTCAATTAGGAGATTTTCATTAAATCAGCCAGGTGAGGAGAACATTAACTTACTTTGACAGTTGAAACAAGGACTCCTATGATTCCTATCCTCTTTCCATTCCTCTCAATAACGGTACTTTTGTTGTAAAGTCCTTGAAATGTTGGTTCCAAACTATCGTCAACATTAGCGACTACTATCGGGCTCCTTAAAGCTTTCATAAATGGAATGAGCCCTTCAATTTTATCCTCGAACTCATGGTTTCCTAAAACCTGAGTCAATCAAGTTAAGTAAATTAATTTAGACAATAGATATATCATGTCTTCAAGATTCTTACAGTGGCATCAAATGGAAGTTTGTTTAGGAACTCCTGGGTGATATTCCATTTTCCTATTGTATACCAAAGAGTGCCTTGGAAGTTATCACCAACATTTAGCAGGACTGAATCTGGTCTCACCTCTAGCATATTCTTGATTTGCTTGTAAAGTCGAGAGAAACCTCCGATACATTTTTCTCCATCTTTGCAAATGCCTCCAGAGGTACTTGATTCCTCGAATCTGCAACATGATTTATTAATTTATATAAATTTAATTCAGTTCAGTTTTCAACTGAATTTATTTTTTCGATTTCATGGGCATGATTCATAAATAGAACTGGGACAATTGTGTGAATACCAAAGTCGTGTGGATCATAATAGGTACTTAATATAAAATAAAGTGAACATTGGTTATACGATTTATGTCATTGTGAATTTGAGTTATATTTAAATTAGAAATAATATTTCCATAAATACCTTCCCATATTACAATGCAATATTTAAGAATTGATTCTACCAAAGTATTATATACAATAAATAATAAAAGCATTTCTTGTGGTAATTATTTTTAGACTAGGCAAGTTAGACAATAAATAAGAAATTTTTTTCTGATGAACCGATCGAGTTGAGGTTTTCGGCATTGTCTTCGGAAAAATATCAGGAAAAAAGTCTATTTATTACACTTTGGGGCTGGATCGAAACTGCATTGCGGGTACATAAAGTGCATCTTGGAGTCCATCAATTTTCCGAATTTTCTAAAAATGGTAAAAATTGACTAAAAGTTGTAAAAATTTGGTTTTCGGGGTCGGAGATTCCGAATCTGACCCTGAAAAATATGCTCTACGGCTCTGCCCCCCCCCCAGGGGGGCAAGGGGCGGGCCTTCTGTAAAACATCGAGTAATTGAGTAATTGCCTTCTAAATTTCCACTCGGTGGTTTTTGGGGTCGGAGATTTCGATTCTGACACTGAAAAGTATGCCCGACGCCCCTGGGGCACCCCAGGGGGGCAAGGGAGGGCTTCTGTAAAACATCGAATAGCTGAGTAATTGCCTTCTAAATTTCCACTCGGGGTTTTTGGGGTCGGCGATTCTGACACTGAAAAATATGCCCGACGCCTGTGGGGTGGGCTTTCTGGAAAACATCGAAATGCACATCAGATTTTTGCAATAAAACAGCTCCACCTGCTTACCAACCATGATCGTGTAAGTTGATCTTTACTTTGTAACACACGTAAATTTACAGAGATTAGACAAGAAGGGTAAGAAAAACTAACAGGAAATTAATGAGTCGAAAAGAATCCCCTTTATTCTGAGAACCAATTTTCTTTTTATTTGCAAGGCAATTAGTGAGACAACTACTATCATATGTTTATCTAACACTTTCACTATCAATCACAATTTTCATCATCAGTACTGCCATCACTGTCTCCATCACTATCATCTATTACATTTTCGACTATTTCAGGATTGGAACAGTTGGTTCCAAAACAATTTGTACATGCAATTGTGCATGTAATTCCATGCTTCCTGCACCCACAAGATCTGCATTGTCGATAATCGGATTTTGTCGCCTAATTGTTATGCATTATCCGCAGTCGCACGGGCCCAAGAGATTCTTTTGAAAATCCATGATCCATGAAATATTCTTCGGTTTTAAGGAATATTTCTTTGATTTAACGAAATGTGTCTCTTGGGAACGGATTGTCCAGGATTTCTCCAATTCTACGACAATTTTTCTCAGTGATAGACAAGCTAAGATTAATGGATATTTTCCAGTGTCAGATTCGGAATCCCCGACCCCGAAAACCCCCGAGTAGAAATTTAGAAGGCAATTACTCAGCTATTCGATGTTTTACAGAAGGCCCCCCGTTTGCCCCCGTGGGGGGGGCCAGGGCCGTTGGGCATATTTTTCAGGGTCAGATTCGAAATCTCCGACCCCGAGAACCAGATTTCTACAACTTTTAGTCAATTTTTACCATTTTTAGAAAATTCGGAAAAATTGATGCACTCCAAGATGCACTTTATGCACCCGCAATGCAGTTTCGATCCAGCCCCAAAGTGTAATATATAGACTTTTTTTCCTGATATTTTTCCAAAGACAATGCCGAAAACCGCAACTCGATCGGTTCATCAGAAAAAAATTTCCGTATTCTGGGTGATTTTGATCTAACTTGCCTGGACTATTTACTCAAAGTGTAAAATTTATGGAATAGATTATTGAAATAATCAAGATCAATAATAATTATTCATATTAATTGAACACATGAATAAGAAACTTTTATACTACGTTGTAATCACTAAGCGTTGTTTGCATTATTACTTTTTTAATTGTTTATGAATATATTAACTGTATTGAGTCATTTTGAGGCATTTTCAATCATTAAAATAAATGAAACTGCAAAACGGCGCTAGAAATGAATAATAATCAAAATTGTAAAAAACTTATTGAGAATCTCTGGAATCATCGAAGAGTTATCTTTTACATACAAATCTGCTACATTTTCCCGTTCCTTAGTTGTTATAGATCGATTTTTTTAGTTTGCGCAATTCTGCAAGTTTTTTGTTAATAACAAATTACTGACCATCGATACAGAAAAATGTCATTAAGGTTTTTTGTTCGTAACGACGTAATATAGCGATTAGAAAAGGTTTGATCCTGCCCCCCCTCCGTGGTCTGTCCACTTGTTTTTTGTGCGCCCCTTTAGGGGTGCACCGCTCGCCCTTTTAGGGATGCACCGCTCGCCCATATTGCACATAGTAGGTAAACTTTCTAACACTTGTAACTTTTCACTGTTTAAATATGGTGAAGTAAAATTTTAAGGGAAACACTTGCCTCCCACACTTTGTAGAAAAATGTTCCTACCTTGCATGGAAATCATTCACATGAACCACTGATAAATTAAACCTGGTTTCACTTTGAGGGGGAGCACAATTCGATAGAGGTATTAGTAACAGTAGAAGCAAAGGGATGGGTCGTATGAGGAACATGACTTGATTGTAATATAATAGTGACAGCGTATTCACGAATGATATGACGACTAAATATACATCCGAAAAATAAATAAAACAGAGTACTGAGTTCCCCCTCAACGTTTTTTTTATTGTAAGGATTTATTAGATGACAATATGCTGATTAGCAAGGGATTAAATTTTATCTTACCATTTCACTGTTTTGGGAGTAATTTTATTTTATAGTACCTGATATCATAGTGACGCTGTTAGTTTTAAAATTTTTGCCATAATTTGGATTCAGAAATTGAATAAATAACAAAATAAATATATTAATAAACGATATATATTGAATTGATTTAATTGTTATTCTGTACCGGACTAAAAAAATAGTTTAAATGCTAGCAATTTTAATTTGCAATTAGATTGAGACAGAGAACGTGCCATTTTGATTTTAATTCGTTTAAAGAAATAACATATTTTTTATTAGTTCTTGTATTTTTACTTTATTTTTAAGATACCAAAAAAATCGTCTAAAAATTCAAGACTCTCTGATATGCGTATTTATTGGACAATCGATAAAAATTTTCAGCTTGTCTTTGACTTTGGTGGATCATGCAGGGAACGCCTTAGGCGGTCGCGATCCCGTCTCATCGCGGACCATGCTAATCTCGATCGCGCGGTGAAGTTCCTTCCCATGTTTTATAATATATGCATTCACACTAGACATCCCCGAATTCATCTCGCTCGCATCGTGTTCTTCACCGATCTTTTCCAAAGAATCTTGGGTGACCATAGAAGAACCAATAAAAATACCTCTTCCATAGAACTCATTTTCTTAACTACTGGAACAATACCGCAACTATTTAAAGGAGAGAGAGAGAGAGAGCAGGATTGTGTGCAATTGCCAAATGCGACTGATTTTGTAAAAGACCGCGATCAGCTCAGCCCAGAACGGACCGCGAACGCCTAATGCGTTCCCTCCTTAATGGTTCTTGTCTCCTTCAAAGTATTGTCATCAATTGTCTGAAAACGACGACCTTTAAGCACTGATTTTAATTTGGGAAATAAGAAAAAATCGCAAGGAGCCAGGTCTGGCGAGTAAGGAGGGTGAAGGAGGAGAGTAATCAGATTTTTGGCACAAAACTGACGAGGTAACAAACCTAAGTGTATGGGCACATTGTCATGGTGTAGGAAATATGAGTTGTCTTTTTTTGCAGATTTTTTCACATAACTATTGCAAAATGCAAGAACGTAAAATGTCAATTCCATTAAAGTCGAATAAACAGTGAGCATCACTTTGACATTCGATCGAAACTGACGTGCTTTATTGGGACGTGGAGATCTTTTGCCAAACCATCGTGATTCCAGTCATTTGCACAAGACCTTTTTTTTAGTAGTCACTGGAGGAAATAAAAACTAAATACAATTTTTCAGATTTATTTGCTTAAACTTTTAATTTGATCAGTAATAAAAAATTGCAAAAATTTACACATTATATTCACTAGAATTTAGAAACATTAACTAGATTTGTACCTATCTAAAAATAACAATTCTTTCTTCTTCTTCTTGAAACACGGGAGACCTATGGTTGAAATAGTCAACTAAAACATCCGTATCGATTTGACCAACTTGCAGGTTTTTCATGTTCTCAGAAAGTACCGTATAACCATCACCTCCATTTGCCAGATAAGAAGTAATAACCATTCTGTAGGTTTTATTCGCATCTAAGTTCTCGTAAAGAGGAATATCACATGCCTGACAGCGAATTTTCAACGACTGAACTCTTTCTCCTAATGGGCGTGTCAAATTCAGCACCACATGGATTCCTAAAATTATATATGTGTATATATTGTTTTCTTCGTCCAAATATATTCATTTATAAAATTTGCTTTCGATTATTTTAATTTTCAGATATACAAGGTGTTACAAATATGCAAACAAAGAGTACTTCAAAACATAAGGAAACTTGTCCGGAAACGCTTTGTTTCCCAGGTATAGGGTGCTAAAATTTTTATAAAACAATCTACCTTTGTTTACATCTTCCAAACAGGTTGACCAAATCAATTCAAATTTGGTTTAGGGTGCTACCAAATAAGTCTACACGATTTGAATATGACTGTAATAAATGAATTGATTCAAGGCTGGATATTCATTGAAATGTTCGCAAACATAGTAGCAGTTCATGCGAGAGCAAGGCACATTACATAGAAAAGATATTTTTATTCCTTTTCGATAGAAAAAAACTTCTTGAAGGTATGTACATGAAAACACAAAATTTGCCTTAATAAAGTACAAATTTAATTAAATATATGCCTTTGTTTTCGGAAAACTAATGTTACCTTTTAAACTTTATAATTTTTTGTTTGTTGTTTGTTACTTGAAATGCCTCTGAATGCGATGGTTTCTCCTCATTTCTTATTATCCGTTTGGGTATATGTACCTTACGAACAAAAGTGGATCGGATGTGGTGAATTGGTAGAATCGCTAACTTAATCGCCAGACATAAATATGCTGGACTTCTTTATTTGATGTATACAGAACCAGTCGAGAATTAAAGTTTTCCACGACAGTGAATATAGGAAGGGTATAACACAATTATAGTCAAATCTTTGATATTTGAAAGGACACGCAATTTATTTTTAAGAAAATGTAAAGCTTGCGTTGACATGGAAGGAAAACATTTGAACACCTACAATAAAAACACATTTGTATTTTTCGTGTAATAAAAATGTACAACCGCTCAAATATTTTTCTATAATTTTTTTTGAGTACACTTTGTTTCGAAAAATATTTTCACTTCCTTCTAACATTTTACATGATTTTCAAGTTAAAAAATGTCATAATAATAAGTTAATAAATGTCGACAATTTGTGTTAACATGCGCATACCGTACCAAATTTAAATTGATTTTAGTAAAGCCATTTGGAAGATATAAAAAATAATACATTTTTTTACGAGAACTTTAATACCCCGTATTTCAAAAACGAGCATATTTTCCTATAATTTTGTTTGAGTACACTTTGTTTTGAAAATTTTTTTTACTTCCTTCTAACATATTGCATGGCTTTCAATTTAAGAAATGTCATAATCTCGGCAGAAATCATGATACTGTTACGAAATTTTTTGTGCACAATCCATAGGTGAGACGATATTGGAAAAATAAAGTCCTAACTTAAGCCTACGGCTTCACTACATACAGTTTCCTAAAAAATTATGGCGTTTTATTACAATTTGATCATCCTGTGTACAGAATGAGGTAAACCTGGATAAAAAGAAGAAAACCTTACTCAGTGGGCCTATTTTAGGGAAAATGAAATGGAAGCAGAGTGCACAGTTTGATAAATTTTATTATTTTATTAAAAAACTAAGTAAATGATCTGACGTACTCTGTATTTCTACATCAGGTTTTATTTAGCAACGTCTTTATTTATTTGAACTGTCAGGGGATGTGAAAGTGCCTACTTCTGAGGGAGAACTTCAGTAATTCAAGTTGACAATTCTTAATGCTTTTAATTTTGAATTAAGTTCACAGATCTTTTTGGAATGTAGTATAACATTTTGTAAATATAGCAAACATTGCCTTTTGTAACATTTTATAAATATTCTTTAAAAATAATTAAATATGACATTGACTCATACATTTTCAATATTATGTGATTTAAATCCAGACCAAATTATTAAGAACACATGGCGGTATTAGGGATTCTGATAGCAAGTTCACCCACACAGAACCTAGATCGAGAACAATAAGGGCAGGTCTACCTAATGCTAAGAAACTGCAATATCTGTAACTGGCAACAATCTGGTAAATAAGTCACGACGTACTTTAATCATCAATTACTCCAGTTTTCTAGATTACTTAGTACATGCTTTCAAACAACATTAAAGAATTACTTGTTTATGATTTATATCTTACCAGAAAACTGCATAAGTTTTAAGCTCGTGTCGGTTGCTTTATCGAAATATGGCAAGGCATTGTACTCTAGCAGTTCTTTGATATACTTTCCTTCAATTTCAACAACATCGAAGGTGTTCTTATAAGGTACTGCTATAATCAGATCGTTATAAGTAATATCTGAAACATAAAATATCTTTTTGAAACATGGTGTTGTTACATATGATCCAATTTTCAATTAGTAGTTAATTGTATACTAAAATCGTCCAAATGAAATTAGGTATATTTTTTACGTAAGTGGAAACTTTAGAATATTAATTCAATCAAGGTATCACTTACTTCCAATGGCTATGTTGGTTCTGATCCCCCCAGGTGTTACGGCGGCTATGGAAGCATAAGCCCATGATCCTTTCTCAACTTTATCTGTCCACTAGAAACAATGTTAGTACAATACAGGGGGTATAGTATTCAGTGCGACTGTACAAAATAGTTCCTCGTCTAAGATCCAACGAAACTCGAAAGCAAACTGTCTCAGAAAAAATTGATTTTTGAATCTAGTGTTTGTGGTATAATTCAGCAAATTTTTGAAAACATTTCATGGCACCTTTATAAGGGCAATTCTTTTCAAAACTTCTAGATAATTTCCCTTTTTGTAATTTACTTATTAATTAAATGGAAAATAGTTAATATATATCAAAATATTTGTGGATGAGTTTACTTACAGAATAAACCATGGCATCTGCAACCAAGTTCCCAAATGTACATTCTGCATATTTGCATTTACTTATATCTAAAGTAACAAGACTGGACCCTACTACAGCGCCACCTTCAGCATCTACCATCTGTTTCCAAGGCAATAAGTCTTCATTGATTTGTTCATCTGCAAAGTGAATTTTATTAGAAGGCCGTCAATTTTGGTTAAACACAAAATTAATCAAGATACTTTATATTAGTTATTGGGATCTAGACTAAGTACATTATGAGTGACTTAAGCCCTACACTTAATTTTACAAAATGAAATATGGTTTCTTGATATTTTATATTTTTCCACAAACAACAAAGTATTTATCGACATACGTTTTTAAAGATGATTGTGTGTTTACCTTGGGGCAGACTGCTATCTAGGAAAATTGGTGCACCAGAATAGTCCACAATTTCTCCAAAGTCATCTAGAAAAATTGTTATATTTCCCAAGTATCGGCAGAAGGAAGATGCTTGAACAACGAGAACATTTTTACCGTTTTTACTCTTCACTATCGTTGGATAAGGTCCCTCTACGTTTTCAGGACCTGGAGGATTATCTGAAATTTACAGATGCAGTAAAAATGTTGAATGTCTATGTTTTTAATAAGAAATCGGAACATATATTTTGGTAAATTTGCAATTTCAATGTAAAACATATAAGATTACCTCCAGTGTATAAAAACGTATGTGTGTGACCACCAACGATGAGACTGATCTTTTCTGAAGCATTAGCAGCAATCGCCTGATCTACATCGTATCCACCATGAGAAAGTACAATATTAGTGAAGACTCCCTCCTCTTTAACCAAACGTTCTGCTTCTGCGTTAACACTAGGAGATTCTAGATAAAAGTTTAAATTTCCCGTATCTGCAATTTGCTGTAAAAAATCAAGTATTTTGAGGTATTTTAGGTATTTCCGATAGGTACTTGTTTTCAATTAGGGCAGTTTAACTAAATCAGTCAGGTGGGGAAAACATTAACTTACTTTGACAGTTGAAACAAGGACTCCTATGATTCCTATCTTCTTTCCATTCCTCTCAATTACGGTACTTTTGTTGTAAAGTCCTTGAAATGTTGGTTCCAAACTATCGTCAACATTAGCGACAACTATCGGGCTCTTTAAAGCTTTCATAAATGGAATGAGCCCTTCAATTTTATCCTCGAACTCATGGTTTCCCAAAACCTGAGTAAATCAAGTTAAGTAAATTAATTTAGACAATAGATATATAATGTTTTTAAGATTCTTACAGTGGCATCAAATGGAAGTTTGTTTAGGAACTCCTGGGTGATATTCCATTTTCCTATTGTATACCAAAGAGTGCCTTGGAAGTTATCACCAGCATTTAGCAGGACTGAATCTGGTTTCTCCTCTAAAATGCTCTTGATTTGTTTGTAAAGTCGAGAGAAACCTCCGATACATTTTTCCCCATCTTTGCAGTTGCCACCAGAGTCACTTGATTCCTCGAATCTGCAACATAATTTATACTTTAATTCAGTTCAATTTCCAACTCAAATTATTTATCCATTACATGGGCATGATAAAACAAAACAAAATTACAGATGTAGGTAACAATTTTATACAAAATACTACTTTTTTTTATCAAGATCAATAATAATTATTCATATTAATTGAACACATGAATAAGAAACTTCTATACTACGCTGTAATCATTAAGCGTTGTTTGCATTGTTACTTTTTTAATTGGTTATGAACATTTTAACTGTAATGAGTCATTTTTTAAGGCATTTCCAATCATTAAAATAAATGACACTGCAAAACGGCGCTAAAAATGAATAATAATGACAATTGTAAAATACTTATTGAGAATCTCTGTAATTATCCAACAGTTATGTTGTACATAAAAAGAGACGAATTCGCTGCTTTTTCCCGTTCTTTAGTTGTTATACAGAGTGCTTATAAATGTTCACAAGCCACGTAACCGCCGAGCTTAGGCAACCAACATTGCAGGACTGGTACCGGTAACGAAAGCTTCCTAAATCTTGGCGTCATCAATATCAATGATTTGTTTAAAATGAACAATGACAAACCGTTACGTCTACAGATAATGCGATCACTGATTGGTTGAATAATATTTTGTGAAAAATTACGCCAATCACAGCCAGTGAAACAGAATGTTGTGTTTTAATGAAATTTTGATAGTATTACTTTAATAACTTTTAATTTTACCGAAGTTTAATAACGTGAAGGAAATAAAATTACTATTAAAAAAAAATACTGGTCACGTGGCTTGTAATAATTTATGAAGACTCTGTATATATGCTTACAGTTTTTACACTCACTATATTGTGTTGCTGTAAACTTAGTTTAATAAAATATTTGTTCTTAGTTATTTGCACGTATGTTCTCAATGATGTCGAACAATCATAGGTCAGTTTTGATAAATGTTAGATGTATTTTTATAACGGGTAAATTTTTGATGACTTAAAAATAATTAAATTTCTTTTATAGATAGTTTTTGATAGTGTCATGTGTTTTTGGGCTTATTTTTATACTTATTATTGCTACTTATATTGTATTTATTGTAATTTATCAATAAATTTACTGTATTTAATCTTAAGTTATTTGTAGGTAAATATTAATATTAGTTCAAATCACTTTTAAGTATATCACTTCACAAAAGTAGATATATCTGAATATTTTCCATATCTCTGATTATTTCCTATTTGCAATATTTCTATAGCAAGATGTAATAATATTAAGATAAGATAAGATGATGATGATGATGATGATGATGATGATGATGATGATGATGATGATGATGATGATGATGATGATGATGATGATGATGATGATGATGATGATGATGATGATGATGATGATGATGATGATGATGATGATGATGATGATGATGATGATGATGATGATGATGATGATGATGATGATGATGATGATGATGATGATGATGATGATGATGNAAGTTTACATTAAGAAATTTTCGATCTCATACACACATTTATCCACTAAGTAACGTTTTAACCTAGACTTAAATTTAAGTAAATTATCTATTTTTTGTATTTCCTCAGGTAAATGATTAAATACTTTGAGCCCAAATACAGATGGGGACTTCACAGAAATATTATAAATACAAGGAGGTACATAAAATGTATTCCTCTGTCTAGTGTCATATGTATGCAGAGCACCCACTTTGTTAAAATTATTCTTATTATTAAAAACAAAAATACACAACTCAAAGATATATAGACTAGATTGTGTTAATATTCTATATTGTCTAAATATATCTCTACAGGAATACTGGCTGGATACACCCGTCATGTACCTCAAAATACATTTTTAGCTGATACAGAACTTCCCCAGAATATGATTGACATTAGCCTACGCAATTTAGATATTAAATTATTACAGTGCTTATTCCAATTTAAACACTCATCTACCTTCAACCCCAGGAATTGTGCACTCTTACAACTAGAAATAGAGGTAACATAATTATTAACATTCAAATCCAAACAAGTTCATTGCCAATTATGAAATCTTATAAAGTGGGTTTTAGTAATATTAAAATTTTACTTTAACTAAATTTACCACATACCATTTTGCTATGTCATCCAGTATATTGTTACACTTGGTCTGCAACGACCCGTCAATTTTATGAGAAATTAAAAGAGATGGATGTATCATCAGCATACATTGTCAAATAAGCATCGGTAATTATTTTATCTAGATCGTTTACATAAAGCAAAAATAATATCGGACTCGTTATAGATCCCTGAGGAACTCCTAAATTAAGAAAGACACATCTCGAATTAATTTTATTAACAATCCCGTCTTTGTAATGTGTTACATTGACAAACTGTTTTCTGTCATAAAAGATCTAACCCAATTTAGAGCCAAACCACGAATACCATAGGATGACAATTTTACTAGCAATAATTCATGACTGACACAGTCAAAGATCACAAAATACCCCAACAGGGCATTCACCTGCCTCAATACACTGCAACACTGTTTCATAAAGGTTCTCCATTGCAGTGGATGTAGAATTTCCTACCAAAAACCCATGCTGATTATCAGAAATAATATGATTCTTATCAAGAAACGCCATAACACGATGTAAATAGCAACATTCCAAAATTTTTGAGAACCCTGAGGTTAGTGTGACAGGTTGGTAATTGTCCATACAATGTACATCATGTTTTTTATGTACAGGTACAACTCCGTTTTTAAACTCGCTGAAAATATGCCGGTCTCAAATGATAAATTGACCAGAAAAGTAAGAGGTTTTATAATGAAAGATGGAATATCATCTGAGCCTGATGATCTTTTATTTTTTAATTTATTTTTTAAAATATATCATCACTGACATAAGGTGTTAGAAATAGACTATCTTGAACAGTTTTTATATTCCTTTGAAATACATATTTTTGCGAATTTACTGCCTGTGGAATTTTACTAATCACATCGTGCGGTGCTGCTACAAAAAAATTGTTAAAAGTTGTTGCTACAAAAAGTGGATCTTCATTAATTTCAAAGTTATCAAATAAACTAATATTTGGACTTTTATTATTTTATTTTATTCGTTAAATGCGATACAATATCCCATGCAGCTTTAGTAGGATTATCGGAATTATTAATTTTATGCTTATTATAATCTAATTTTGTTTTATTAACTAATATTTTATGTCCCTTATGAGCCATAATGTACTTATTCCTCAATTCGGGATATGCCTTTCTCAATACATTTAGGTCTCTCAATTTACAACTGGACAATTTAACTTCATCCGTAACCCACCCCTTATGACAATTATTTAAAAAAAATTCTTTAGTGGGAAATGCACATTAAAATAATATGAAAATGTATTAAAGAAACAATCATAAGCCCGATCCATGCTAGTCTGCATATAAACATTTAAAACATTTTCATTACTGTAACTTCTTCTAATACTAGAATTACATTTGTGTGAATTTTTATCACTGTTAAAAAACTCAAAAAGAATAGTTCTGTGGTCAGATATTTCATTATCAACAACAGATACGGTACCATTAGCTGTTATATTCGAGAATATTTGGTCTATTATAGTTGCAGTGGAGGAAGTAACCCTGGTCGGCCATTATTAACTCTTCTTAGTATGTATGTATGTATGTGCTAATTTTAAGTTTAACAATTCTTTTAATTAGAATAGTTTACACTACATTCAACTTAACTAAAGAAACTTAACTATACGATCATCAGTGTAAAATGAAAGTATACCAAAGATGAATTAATTTACATTATGAAGATCGAGATTATATTAAAAAGTATGGAATAAGAGATATGATTATCAGATTTATTTACTGTGACAGAAGTACCATCTTTTTATCTATATTTCTTTCTCTATACTTAATTTTTCTTAGTTTTTTACTACATTACATTTCATTGGACGATATCAATCCACCTCAAGCTACTTAGAGATATACAAAACAAAAAGACAATTGAGACTCGTCGACCTATATCAAAGGAAGATAACATATGAGGCACAAGATGTTAAAATATTTTTAAATGCACTCTAAAAATGTATTTCAATGTGATTTTTTAATCCTTTGGGAACAAGTATTTACATAGCAACATTGAATTTCCGATTTCGACAGGATAAGAATAGTTTTCAAACAGGACTATTATTATTTTTACTATTTATGTTACCATTAATTGGTATTACTTCTTCAATTTTTTGGAGACACCAGATGAAATAAATTCTGTTGCTCGTTGAGTACAAGTATTCATCTTTTAGTTCTGTGTTTTGGCTCTTTTCACACAATTTGCAAATACTTATTTATAACAAATTTAATTCTAAAAAAATGTAATCCTGAATACGGCAATAGGTTTTAAAAATATAGTTCGCTTTTTGTTAAAACTATTTCAGTTAAATTTCTTTGCTAAACTTTCTAACACTTGTAATTTTTCACTGGTTAAATATAATAAAGTAAAATTTCAAGATAAACACTTGCCTCCCACACTTTTTGTAGAAAAATGTTCCTACCTTGCGTGGAAATCATTCACATGAACCACTGATAAATTAAACCTTGTTTCACTTTGAGGAGGAGCACAATTCGATTCGAGAGGTATTAGTAACAGTACCACCAAAGGGATGTGTCGTATGAGGACCATGACTTGAGTGTGATATACTGATATAATAGTGACAGCGTATTCACGAACGATATAACGACTAAATATAGGTACATCCGAAAAGTAAATAAGACAGAGTACTCAGTTCCCTCTCAACGTTTTTTTACTGTAAGGTTTTATTAGATGATAATATGCTGATTAGCGTGGGAATAAATTTTATCTCACCATATCACTGTTTTGGGAGTGATTTTATTTTATAGTACTCGATACATACTGTACTAGTGTTGCTGTTAGTTAAAAAAATTTGTCATAATTTGGATTCTGAAATTGAATAAAATATAAGAAAATAAATAAATAAATAAACGAGACAAATTTAATTGAATTGATATGCTATTCTATACCAGATTTAAAAAAAATAGTTTAAATATTAGCAAATTTAATTTGCAATTAGACTGATACAGAGAATGTTCTTGATTTTGATTTTAATTTGTATAAAAAAAGGTTGAAAGATTTGAATTTATTTTAGTTAAAAGATACAATATGGGTAGAACAGGTCATTTTTTAAAAACATATTTTATTATTCGCTTTTGAATTTTTTTGAAAAAAAAAAAAAAAATAAAAAAAACTCAAACTAAAAATTCAAGACACTCTGATACGTGTATTTATTGGATAAAGATAAAAATTTTCATCTCGTCTTTGACTCTTTGTGAATCATGCGAAAGGTTATTTTCTGTTTCTTTTTTTACTCAATTTTGAACCACTATGAAGTAATTTATTTAATTATTGCTTTGCTAAGTATAAATCTAATCCTCCACAAAATAGCAAATAAAACACTACTAATTATATATTCAATGTAAAGTGTTAAATATTTTTTAAGTTAAATATTAGTACGCCAGATATTCGATGCCGACATTTAGATCTAGAGTTGTCAGTGTCGAAGGTATTTAGTCTCAAGCTAATTTTAAAAGTGTGGCTATTTTTAATACTGCGACTGTATAAAATGTAACACGATTTAGTGTCTTCTAATTTTTAGTTTCTATTGACAAATTAAACGTTTACCATTATTACTTATTACGTTTATTACTTTTATCATGGTATTATGATAGCTTTGTTAAAGCAAAATAGTTTTCAACAGTCAGACACATGTGTAGAGCTATAAATGGGATTGCGTTTGACTATACTCTGTTTGGAAATGAAAGAGAGTAATAAAACCCCGAGATAAGAACCGGCCATGGGCGTGCTAATATTTCGTTTCAGGTAATTGTCGGGTAACACTAATGCTAACAGGTAATGGGTGTACATTAGTATATTTTACTGGATACATCATAGGGCAGGAGCCAGTGTATTGTGACAGATCAATCCAGTCTTAGAGCTGAATATACGAAGACGTGCTAGTGCAGTAGAGTAAAATTCGACTTGTGTTTAGTGACTAAAGTACACTCATTTTATTTTAAAAAAGAAATACCAACGCTAAACAAAATTTTAAGTGAACTTTCAGAGGACAACGATTTGCCAAAAATCAGTAGAAGCAAATTATGGGCCGTCTTACGAGAGTTGAATTTTTGCTGGGAAAAGCAGAACAGGAAGTCAGTTCTTATCGATAAAGATGAAATTATTTGTTGGCGAAGATCCTACTTAAGATCAATTAGAAAATTCCGTGACGAAGGGAGGAATATTTATTATCTAGACGAAACTTGGGTCAACGAGGGATATACTGTAACAAAAGTATGGCAAGATAAAAATGTAAAAAGTTTTCGACAAGCATTTTTGGATGGACTTTCAACAGGGTTCAAGGCACCTTCAGGTAAAGGGCGAAGATTAATAGTGACACATATAGGTAGTGCCAGTGGTTTTGTAGATGGCGGTTTACTTTTATTTGAATCTAAAAATACAGGTGACTATCACGAAGACATGAACGCAGATGTTTTCGAAGAGTATTTTACACAGATGTTGGATCTTATTCCTCCGGGGTCTGTAATTGTCATGGATAATGCCAGTTACCATTCACGGCAGACCGAGCGGACGCCTACGACTGCTTGGAGGAAAGCCGATATAATTCAATGGTTATCCGGAAAAAACATTTCTTTTGAAACAAATATGGTGAAAAAGGAACTTTTGACACTTGTCAATCTTAATAAAGATCAGAAAAAATATGTTATCGATGAAATGGCAACAAATCGCCAAATAACGGTACTACGGTTACCACCTTATCACTGTGAACTTAACCCAATCGAATTAGTCTGGGCGCAGGTAAAAGGAGATGTAGCGCGAAATAATACGACGTTTAAATTAAGTGACGTGAAAATTTTGTTAAAAAATTCCTTGGAACGAGTAACTGCAGATAACTGGCAAAGATGTATACATCATGTACAAAAAGAAGAGGAGAAAATGTGGGAACTCGATAATTTAATTGACGTTACTGTGGAACCTATCGTTATCAATCTAGGAGACGAAGATAATTCATCAGAATATTCAGAGGATGAATTTTAATATACCTACTTTTTTATTTTCTTTATTGTACATTTATACAACACTACATTTACTCACCATAATTTGAATTTTCAAAATACATATATTTTTGTGTGGAATAAAAGTCTATTCATTAAATTTAAATAAATATTTTGATAATAATATTGAATAATTTTATTTGAATTACTAAAAACCCTCTTAACCCGGTTATGATGCTTAAAGTAGCCTCATGTTTTGAAATGCTGTTTTTATATTGTTTACTTATAAGAGAAATGGACCGAGAAATTGAAGCGGCATAAACAAAGACGGATTGTCGGGGATTAAATTTTAGCTACCTGCTACAATTTAGTACAGTCCGATCGCACAACGTTTTAAAAGTAGACCTCATCTATACGGAAAATACATAATATAAAAATATTGAATATAAGCACCAGTCCTATATTTATTTACGATTTGCATACATAATGAGCTTTTATTACTCTCTTTCGTTTCTAAACAAACTATAGGAAACTGTTTTCTATGCACTAGGAATAAAGCTAATACTAGGTCTGTTCAGAAAATAACCGAACTTTATTTTTTTTAACTTTATTATTAATTTTATACATTAAAGGAGGGAACGCATTAGGCGGTCGCGGTCCCGCCGCATCGCGGACTGTGCTAGTCTTGATCGCGCGCGGTGGAGTTCCTTTCCATGTTTTATAATGTATGCATTCCCACTAGACATTCTCGAGCTCGTCTCGCTCGCATCGCGTTCTCCTCCGAACTTTTCCGAATAATCTCGGAAGACCATAGAAGAGCCAATAAAAATACCTCTTTCATAGAACTCATTTTCTTAACTATTAAAACAATAAAGCAACTATTTAAAGGAGAGCGCGTGCAGGATTGTGTGCGATTGCCAAATGATTTTGTAAAAGACCGCAATCAGCTCAGCGCAGAACGGTCCGCGATGCGACGGGACTGCGACCGCCTAATGCGTCCCTCCTTAATGGTTCTTGTCTCCTTCAAAGTATTCCCCTCCCCTATTCATACACTTTTCTTGGCGGTGTTTCGATTTCGTGAAGCTTTATTTGAAATGGCCTTGAAAGTCTGTGACGGATTTGTTTTGATGCCATCAATTCTCTGAAACCGACGACCTTTCAGCACTAAAAATGATCGTATTATAAAAAATGTCTTGTATAAAATATCGATATTAGTTAATATAGGAGTCTTTGCCTAACATTTGTCTATAACTCTGTCAAATATTTTTGCTTCAAGTATTAGTAGTTGAAAGTTAATACAACTTCTTCGAGGTTATGTTTTTTCCAAAATTCGAAGAACATAACTTGGTAACCCGGCACTAAAATGTTAAACTGTTTATATTGCCTTATATAGAATTTTCTCAGAAATCCATATGTTTAAAAATATATAGAGTCAAATTAATTTTGACCTTTAGATTTTTTGATTCTGTACAACTTATATATACTTTTTTTCTGTATTATGAATAACAAGGGAGTTATTTCACTTTCTCACACTAATGGCCCACCCTGTTGCAAGATCCGCCAGACATTACAACTTGCCGCTAGACAAGTCTGTAAACGCAACGAAAATGTCTGGCAGGTTTGATTTCACTCAAGCCCAATAATTATCTGTACAGATTTAATAAGTCTGCCAACTTATCAGCACTAATGCAACGATAAATCGTACAACTTAAGTTTGCACAAGCAAGTTGATGTGCATGACGGAGCGTCTATCTCGCACTTAACTTACTTTATGTGAAAATCATCCGTAAACGAAATATGGACGAAACGCTGAACTAATTTGAAGTTTAACATTTATTATAATCCTTCTTGGACTGTAGCTGTACCCTCTCCGGCTCTTCTTCATTTGATTCTACATTTCACGGACGCCACATATTTGAACAACCAAAACTACAGTGCGTACAATATTTGTTGAGAGAATTCCAAGAAGAGATTAAGCTAATAAAGTTCCGTTATCGAAACTACTGTAACAATTTACGGAAGCAGGGGCGTGCCTTGAAATTTTCCACCAATGTCTTTCTACCTCGGGTGTTGAATGCGGTTAATTCCAAGAAAGTGGCGCAGTAGTTTTCTTGGAATTCCATCTCAACAAATATCTATGGTCTGTATGTTTCTGATTTACAGGAATAATTATTTTTTTTTAAATAGTTATATTTGTACAGAACTACCCATAACTGATAGTTGGCCGCCGTTAAAGCGTGAGCTTTTACGGCATGATATTATGAACACTTAATACAAACGTCTTTCATGTCAAGTTTACCATCTTGAGGGTTATGAAATTTTTCTCAGCTTCATAAATATAATAGGTATGATTGTTCTCTTTTTCCTGAACAACTTTTATTAAGAAAGTTTTACGATATCCCTTCTCGTTCAAAAGATGTAAGATGATACTTATAGAGAAAAATCTGTCACTGATTTTGTCAGTCTAGCCGTGCAAAACATGGTACTTTAATGTTTTTATTTATTACTGATATAAATTATTTCTCTCTATAAAACCGTAGTGCAGATTCCGAATATTTCTCAGCTTCTAAAAATCAAAATCAATTTTTGATTATGAGTATCTATTTTTTAAATATACGTAAAAAATTTTCACAAATAATTTATAAAAAAAATTGTGACAAGTGCCAAATGTATATTAATAATGAGTATAAAGAGTAAGGTTTTCATATGCAAAAAATATTTATGAAATTGAGAATAAATAAATTCGATTTTGTCCCTGTCCTTAGGGCATTAAACATAACAATATTGAATTTTATGTTAGTTACTTATAACATCATGAAATAAAGATTCGTGCCTGCGGTTTCCTATCTGCTCTTTACATTTTGGTGTAATGGCGGCCAATCATCAGGTTTGGGTCAGCCTGTATAAAAAAAGGTTCGTTTAAACTAAGTTAATTGATAAGAGTTTAATGTAAATTTAATCAGTTACTGTTTTCATTAAGAAAATTATAACTCACATTTTCCTTTTCTTTTTAAGAGGCGAAACTAGTATTTTCGGCTTAAGAGCGAAAAAAATATGACTTTAGTATAGATTATATCATGAGAAAATCAAAATACAAATAAGATTTTTTAAATTGAAAGTAAAAGTTTTGAATAATAGGTATGGGTTTAAGTAAATATAACAAGTATACAGGATGATTCACAACTTATCCAAAAAAATTTGGGAACAGATGCGGCATGAGAAATGGAGTATTTATCGTAAAAATGTAAAATCCTTATAGTTTCCGAGAAAAAAATTATTGAAGTTGCAGTACCTTCAACCATTACATAGCTGGACAACTGTAGTCTCTAACGCCATTTGCAATACGCGTAGAGAGCTACGTGGCCTCAGCGACTCCGAATACTGAAATTCGATTTTACAATCGTCGTTGCGATATTGTTTACTATAGTTTTTTAGTAGTTAGTGTCAAAAATGGCTTACCTGTATAGCTACTCGGAGTTGATGGATATCGTTTTAATTTATGGCGAAACAAGACAACATTTGTATTATGGTGAAGCATTTGTGTTATGGTGAAGCAAGACAACATTTGTGTCGTAGAAACTAAGTAAGACGGGCCCAAATATATTTGTCATGAAGTCACTACTTTTTAATTGTAATAATAATAGTAGCAGCTATATTTTTTTGAAGTAAGTGTACTCTTAAAAAGACAATCATATTGTTCTTCAAGAGGTAGAACTTTTTTAGATTAAGGCTGATGTTCTACACGTTTATGTGCAAAATCTTTAATTCGAATATATGAGAAAAATTGCAGCTCACAATCCTACCTTCTATAAATTCAAGTTTTTATATTCTGTAAAGTCTAAATCTAAATTGTAAAGGAAACTGAATAAATAAGTAAAATTTTAACTTAAATTTTTATTTGCAACCTTAGCTATCTAAATTTTTCATTACAATTGTCTCTTGCCCGTAGATAGTAATTCTACCTTCCTCTTCTTGGTATACTGGTGATTTCTCTGATAGATACTTCACGAAGACATCTATGTCTACAGACCCCACTTTTAAATTTTGAAGGTTGTCTGAAATGATCGTGTAGCCATCTCCACCAGTGGTTATGAAAGACGGTACTACTATTCTGTACATTTTATTCTCGTCTAGATCTTCGTAGACGGGAACCATACATGCTTGACAACGGACTTTCACAGACTGCACCCTTTCACCTTGTGGTTGGGTTAAATTCATTACCACTTGAATACCTACGATTCAAAAAACGATAACAATGCGTCTTTAGTGTCAGTTAAATTTCTGCAACTTAATAACAATGAAACTTCATGTTGCTCCAATTTTATGAATGCCTTTTATTCAGTTGGATGGGCATTGAACACTGTTGATCAGCAAATATTACAAAAGTTTTAAAGTTTTTTATATGAAACAAAAGAACTGGTAGTTCATATAATGTTTACCATGTTTTGTGAAATATTTAACTGACATTAAATTTGGTCCAATGTTCAAAAACGAAGAAGAACTGTCAAGATTTGATGTTTGTCTGTGAATGTTTCATGAAAATTTGAAAACATTTCAAAATAAAAGCTAGTCTTTAAATTCACGAAATTCTCTATTTTAAGATATGAAATCGTCATAGGTATATTCGCAGTGAGAAATTTTAACATTTGAATAGAAGAGAATATTGTCTAAATTACCTGAAAACTGCATCAATTTCAGGCTAACATATACCCTTCCATAACTGTAAGGTAAAGTATTATATTCTAACAACTCCTTTATGTATATCCCTTGTAATTCGCCTACATCAAATGTGTTTTCAAAAGGTTGGGCTGTTACCATATCTGCATATGTAATATCTGAAACGATAATATATTTCGCAGTTAAAATAAAGCTATGCTATGTGGTAGTTATCTTAAAGGGATACTTTACCTCCAACTTGAATGTCAGTCCGAAGACCACCTGAGTTCATTATACCAATAGCAGCGTATGTCCAGGAGCCTTCTTCAGCTTCATCCATCCACTAAAAATTATATTATTGTATTATAATTACCAAATAATTTGGCATTATTTGCAAAATATTCATAGTATTTTGAAAATGTAAGGGTCGTAGAATCGTAAAATTTTAGCTGTGGTAGGTAAGTTGTATCAGTGCATCATTAGCGTTGCCAGTGGTTATTTTCTGAAATCAACCTTTATTGACCGAAGTTATAAAGGAAAATTGTTTATTTTTTTATTTTTTTATTTATTTATAAAGGCTAGTGTTACATACACATAAAAGTGTTTACACGCGTCCAAAAGAAAAGAAAGTGGTAAATAACAATACATATAATGATAGCAATCAACTAACTGTTATACAAATATACATAAACAACAAATAATTAAAATAAATAGGATAAATGACATACTAAGATTAATGATAATAATTAATCATTCATATTCGAGCTACATTACTGTCAATAAAATCTTCAAAACTATAAAAGGCATTTTTTATTAAGTATTTATTTGGTGAGGTATTATGTTGAAAAATTTGATGGCCCAATAATTAGTACCGACCCGCGGTTTACTAAGTCTTAGAAATTTATTACGTAAGTATGTGCTCTTTCGGGTGTTATAAGAGTGAGTCCCACTTCTGATTTCAAAGTTATGTATGTGTTTTTTGATATAAATAAGACATTGAAGTATATATGCACAGGGTACAATTAGAATGTTCAATTTAGAAAACTGCTCTCTAAAACCAAGGTCAACCAGACCCCATACTAAAATAGCATATGTTATGATGGAATGGATATAGCCATGATAAACTATGTTACAAGCTTGATATTGAGACTCTTCGTTTGAGACTCCGGAATAAAAAAGTATGTTTTGATATCTTGGAGCAAACATAATTAACATGTTGATCCCATGTCAGTTTAGGGTCAAGATGAATTCCCAAGAATTTTACATGTGCTGGATTATCCCAGTTTTCCATATTGCGGAGAATAAAAATCATAGTTTCGGTCTTCGAAGTATTCAAACTGAGTTGATTACTAGTAAACCAGTTTTCTACCGATGCATGTTGGTCATAAGTTGGTCATTAACTGTTCAAAGTTTAAGTTGGTTCTAGTTATATTGGTATCATCAGCAAAGAGTATACTTTTAGTATCATAAGGTAAACAATTAGGAAAATCATTAATATATACATATATATCAAAAACAGTAACGGATCCAATATGGAACCTTGTGTTTAGTAAAACAGATTGCTTTTATATGTCTTACTGACGTGTTATTTTAAAGTCACCATATTTTTTTTATATTAATGTAGACGAAGTGCCGAATATTAAAAAACAATCTAATGCTTTTAAACACATATTTTTATTACATGATTTATTAAATATTAACTAACATTGATACATCGCAAATTGTCAATAAAAATTATTTATATTTTAAAATAATTATTTTTGTCGTCTTGAAAAACGTACATAATAAAAAAATAAAAATACTAATCTCATTGCTTTGAAACAATTTTTAAAGTTGTACAAATAGTTGTGTTACTATTTTTTTAAATCAATGTACGTATTTAACTTGTGAATCTCAGTATTAATGTCGTCTGACATTGAGATAGTTTAGCTTAACTATGCTGTTGTCACTATGTGAAGTAGATAGGGTCGTATTTAGGAGAGTAACAAAGTCCTAAACAAAATACGCTATGTTTCTACTTCTTTTTATTATTCAGCTATTTCAGCAGCCAATCGCTGCTAGACATTTTAAATTAATTCAAAATAATTAAAACAACAAAATTAAAATGCGAACAGTTTAAATTTAAGCAGAATCCGCTCCTGTTCCGAACGCTTCAGTAGAGCAATGGAGGTTAGCCTTCCATGTTCAGTTAAAATGCTGTATTGCCGCATCTGAAAAGCCTGCTAGTTGACTTCACACCTGGTATGGTATGACGGAATGGTAAATAGGTAAAAAATAAACTGTTACATTAATTCGGTGAAACAGGTATGGCAGAATGTTTCACATCGCTTCATTTTATTAAATTTTTAGTTTAGTTTTCCAGTATCGTTTTACGAGACGATGCTTGTGAATTGTTTTGTGTAGTAAAAGTTATTTTTTTCAGTGTTTAGTGATGGTGCAGTGTAATTTTGGATTTTCAGTTAGAAGTTTCTGGATAATGTTATGAAAAAGCATGTATACGAATTAATTTTTTTTTATATTGTTAGAACGTACTTTTTGTCAGGAGAAAACAATACTTTTGCAAAAAGATGATATCGGACATATTATCACAACCGACAAATACCGAATAAAAAAATGAAAGGCTAATTTAACATTTAAGGTATTATGAAAGCTTTGAATTCAGATCAGTTAAGAAATGTTCAAAGCTCAGAGAGTGAGAAACTTAGGATCAGAAAAGGCCGTGGAAGGTATTCTTGGTTCCGGTAATCGAAGATTTTCCATAAAATTTCAAGTATGCTGTAAACATTAGAAGAGTATTTAATTATATTATTACTATGTATTCCATTTATCATTATTTATTTATTGCTGTTGTCGTTAAATTACTCTTCCTCCTTCATAGTTTACCTTATTTAGAAGAATTAAAACGTTTATGTGGTATGATAAGGTATCTGGCAAACACCCTTTCAATAAAAGTAATGCCACAAAAAACAATACTTCACTGCGGGTCTTGTGGAAATTTTATTTGAGAAAACAACACTTATGGTACGTGTTGCTAAAGTACCCTCCGTATAAGTATGACCTCCATTCAAAGTTATATCCTTTACTTATACAGGGTGATTCACAATTTATCCAAAAACAGATTGGGTATAGATGTGGCATACGAAATGGAGTAAATATCATAAAAAAATTTTTGGAAAATCTTTATAGTTTCCAAGAAAAAAATGTTTGAAGTTGTAGTATTTTAAAGCCTTACATAGCTGGGCTACTGTAGTCTCTAGCGTCATTTGAGTTGTGCGCTTTACACAATGCGCGTGGAGAATCATGTGGCCTCAGCGAATACTCAAATCCGATTTTACAATCAGTATTAACGTTATTGCGATAGTATTTACCATAGTTTTTTAGTAGTTAGTGTCAAAAATGGCTTATGGGTATAGCAACTTAGAGTTGATGGATATCGATTTAATTTATGGTGGAACAAGACAACATTTATGTTATGTTGAAGCATTTGTGTTATAGTGAAGCAAGACAACATGTGTGATAGTTCGTAGAAACTGTGTAAGACGGGTCCAAATGTGTTAACACATTTAATTAATGAATTAATAATAACAATAGCTGCAAAAGCAGTTGAATTTCCTGATAGTTTTTGTCCGTTTTGTATTACACTTAGCCTTGTGTACGGTCAGATTTTACAGTGGACCAGTTTGCAGTGCCGTGTATTTTTAAATCATTTTCGAATTGTCCGTTTTGATTTTTTTTACGAAATTGTATTTGTAAGAGTCCCCTGTATAGGTCGATTCCGTATAGGTTGATTATGTTTATTTGTTGTAATCTAGATATAACAGAAATTATTAAGTTACCTATGTATTCGGAATTCTATAAAAAACTTGGCTTATTAATATTTTAATCACAAATTGTTAAACCGTCATTAGTATTCGTTAGTAGGACAACGTTTTGCCTGCAGTTATTTATTTGTAACAAAGTCATATTACTGTCATAATTAATCAGAAACATTGGAGCAGTACTTCATGTACTACCATAATCTGATACAGACGTTAAAACCAATTTGTGACCAGTTCTAAAAATAGAAAAGAATTACCGAGTACACCATTGCATCTGTTACAAAATCTCCAAGAGTACATTCTGCATATCTACAGTTACTCCGGCTTAGAGTAACGAGAGTAGAGCCAATCACTTGTTCACCTAGAACATCTATTACGTCTTTCCAGGGTTGCATCTCCTGATTAATTTCTTCATCTACAACGAAGACAAATTTGATCAGAATCATGAAGTTGAATGTATTTAATTTTTACGTAACATAGACATATTTTTTAGAAATGTTTGCCCCTTCTGTAGCTTATGAGAAATTGCAGAATGATTTGTCAATTTTTAAAACACATTCATAATTTTGGCATGCTCATTGTGTTCAGTTGCAGTCCGTTGAAATTATCATGAAGATCATAGTAATTTTTACATGTTATTTATAACTTACCTTGAGGATAATCATTGGACAAGAAAATGGGTGCCCCAGAATAATCGGCTATTTCACCATCTTCATCTAAGAATACAGTAATATTTCCTAGATATTTGCAATACGCTGACGCTTGAGTAACAAGGACAGTTTTTCCGTTTTTACTCGTAACAATTGTAGGATAAGGCCCTTGAGGCGTATCAGGTCCTGGAGAATCATCTGCAACCGAGTCGCACTATAACATCCAATTTTTTTAACAATAATCATTTTCGTACCTCCGGTATATAAGAAGCTGTGAGAATGTCCACCAACAATTAAACTAATCTTTTCAGATGCATTCTTAGCTATTTCTATTTCAGTTTCATAACCTGAGTGAGAGACTACTATATTGGTGAAAACTCCTTCTTCTCTAACCAATCTTTCAGCTTCTTCATTAACACTTGGAGATTCCATGTAGAATTTCAAGTCACCAGTACTGGCGATTTCCTGAATGAAAAAAAAATCATATTTTTTTATTGAAGTTTTAGTACAAGTGTAGAATCTGTATCACTTACATTACAGTTATGTAAAATAACTCCTATAATACCGATTTTCTTCCCATTTCGTTCAATAACTGTACTCTTGTTATATAGACCTTGGATAGTTGGCTCTAAACTGTCATCAATGTTCGAGGCAACCACGGGATGGTTCAAACTTTCTAAAAATGGCACAACGCCTGCAATTTTATCATCAAACTCATGATTTCCCAGCACCTAAAATAATTATTTATGTTATAAAGTAACAAGTGTCATCGTATTGCAAATATTGAAATTTAAATTTTTCACATCTTAGTACTATAATGAACAACCTTATGGTATTAAAATAAATAATCTATTTATTATAATATGGCAGCATATCAAATAAAATGTAATAGTCATTGTCTTGACTCAGTTATAGATACAAAAATGTTTAGTTTGTCTTGTGGTCGGGTACTACCTAAGTATGCAAACTACCTTTGAGCTCACAAATATAATTTGTACGTACAGTGGCATCAAATGGCAATTTGTTCAAAAATTGTTGAGTTACATTCCATTTTCCAACAGTGTACCATAGAGTTCCCTGAAAATTGTCACCTCCATTCAGTAAAACAGCGTCTGGTTTCCCGTCTAAAATAGTCCTAAGTTCCTTATAGAGCCTGGAAAATCCACCAATGCAAACATCGGTCTCCTTACAAGTCCCCCCAGAGTCGTTAGTTTCTTCAAATCTGAAATATGTCGTTTAAACCATATTAAAACTCGAAGAAGAAAATGTAATAAAAAAACTCTTTCAAATAGTAGTAAAGTAAATCATTTAGGGAATAATAATTTTCCTTTCGTTGGACGAAAACTAATTTTAATTAAAATTAATGATGATAACCGACATTAAAGGAGATATTACCTACTATATTATTTAACAGCGTAATAAAAAAATTAATTTACCAATATTTCACATATTTGAGTAAGATAAGAATATACATACTACCTAATATATGACAGAATTAAGAAATAGGGACAAAAAATTCCTGAGAAGCATTTTCTTAATTATTTTCATCATCAGAAGCAATTCTCGAATTCTCTTTTGATATTTGCAATGTAAATAAAGAAGTTATATTGGAGAGCGGCATACATAAAAGTTAGAACATGCTTTCTAAATCTATGTCATAATTACAGGAGATTGTTTTTGGGGTTATTTTAGACCAAAAAAGTCTTTATGAACCAAGCATGTAAAGTCACTGATTTTCCCAATACAGGGTGTTAAGTTTAAAAAAATATACATCACGTTGACTTAAGAGTGGTTGAACTAAGGATAACATTAAAGATAAACATCCATTGAATTGCTATTCCAGTCTATTAACCAAAAACCCATGTACCAGACCAGATAATTTTTTAGTAAAACGTTAAAGTTCACCTAAAATAAGGTGAAATAGTGAGACTAAAGTAAAGTATTATAATGAAAAGAAACAATCTGCAATTACTTTGATAAAACATTTGAAAATAATATTTTCTAATAATAATATGTCCTCTACGAAGGGACATTTTTATATTAAATATTTTTGCCTGAATTTTGTTACCGCAGATATTTGGGGTTACTGATTACAAATTTGAATAAAAGATTACTGAATACAAGATGGCGAATCCAATATGGCGGATGCATAAATCAGAAAAGCATTCGAAATTTGTAAATCTATGTACTCATCTCTCTGGTACAGAAATTTTGTGGGCTGTGTTATTATTTACGAGTTACTTATTTGTAAAAGAGTTATTAATTTAATTTATTTAATTTAAAATAACCTAATCACAGTCGAATAAATTTGAAATATCTTTAAAATCATTCTTTTCCAATGTAATAATGTAGGAAAAGATAAAAAATCATTGCGATTTTAAATTATTTTGTAAACAGTGCCCCGTCAAGTATTTCTGACAATTCTGACATATGACACCTCTGTTTATTTTTAATTTTAATGATAATACTGCATTTAAAATTATATTTCGTACAAAATTTTTATAAATTGAATAATTTATAGCTATTTTAGATTAATTTAACTGCCTGAAAAGTAATAATCAAAAACGGTTCTTTCTTTATAAAAAAATACAAACATCGATATAAAAAAGGAAACATCAATTGCAATTATTGCACCTAAAAAGTAGGTACCTATTATGTCCTTATGTTTTAGTAACTTGGCATGCCAGTAGTCATTTTTATTTGATTTCTTTATGTTACATGCAAATTAATTTACGCTATAGTAAATTAAGGAAGCATTTTACATATTATAATTATGATCAGTTCCCGTAACAATGTAAATTTATATTTTAAGGTTATATGTACCATTTTAGAACAATATTTATGTTAATATAGATACATTATACAAAAATTGAATGGTTCTTGACAAGGTTAAACTATTAATAAGATATTGCATTTATTTCTGAAGGTAGCATACATTTTTACAATTTCTTACATAAATCTTTGTTTTGAAAAGAAAAATAATGTTGGAAATTGTTATTGTTTGGAGAGAAATTGAAATAAAGTAGGACGTTAGAGAAATTTTCGTTTTCAAAGTTCAAAATTTTTGCGTTTAACGGTAGCCTATGTTTTATAAATTTGCATCAAATAACTGCAAAAAAATTTAACTGCCTTGGAAATAAATTGTTCCAGATATTTTTACACCTAAAATCATCTAAGAAGTTTTGAACTTTGTATGCATTATTCTCTGCATACCAACTGAAAGCATTTCAAATTAAACAATGATTTTAAAAATATGTAACTGATGTAGACTACCTACTAAAAGATAAATAAGAAACTAATTGACATCTAGTTTTTAAAATTCAAATATAATTTTATCAATTTGCAGTGTTAAAAAGTGTTTCTATCTATAAAAATGTTTTAGGGATAAGGTTAAAGTATTTAATGTTAAGGTAAATATCCTCCAAATCCTAAAAGCAGGTACAGAGAAAAATAATTATTAAAAGAGATTTTTACATCGTTTTTTGAATATGAATTGTCACAAATGAAAGTGGAATTTTGTAAATATTGGATGAATCTGTTGATTTTTCAAATTATTTACTCACCTAGCGTGGAAGTCATTTATGTGCAACACCGACAACTCGAAAAGATCAGTTGCTCTTTGGACAGGCTTTGCAACTGCTGATACGAACAGCAGTACCGAAAGAAACTTGAACATGATCGACAGTTTTCCTCAAACTAACTTAATTACTTCGCACACCATAAATAATACGTGATTATAGAGATTACATTTACATTGTAGATAACATAATTGTACTTAGATTTTAATTTCTTCAATGATATTTGAACGCGTTGTTATTACAGAGGCGGATTGAAACCACTTCCCGAATACTGCTTTGTATGTATCTTTTTTAAACGCTTCTGTTTTCTGGAATTCATCAATATGATAGAAATATGAAAATGTTCGATACAAGATACATAAAACTTCCTGTTTTAGGCAATCATATAATTTTATAAGTAAGTATTTAAGCATCGTAGTCTCTATGGGCAGAAAGAAAATTCTGTGACTGAGATAGAATCATTTTGATTGTATTAAACAAATAAAATTCATTAAAAAAATATCGCGTTTTCTAGTTAATTCCTTTCTATAGTAGAATTCTGTTTTATTTTGAAAGTGAAGAAAATCCTTAAAATCTTAAATTAATATTTAATCTTTTGTGAAAATTTTTTTAATTCCAGAAAGTTTAAAAGGTAAATTAAGATATTTTATTTATAAGACTTTGTAGACTTTTTAAGATGTTGGCGAAAGTTCCTCGTGGATGAATTATACTTTTCCAATAACAATAATATTCAATGACACACTAGATACTAATGATTATCCCATTACTACAGGGCTTTCATAAATGATTACAAGCCACGTTACCGCCGATCTTATGCAACCAACATTGCACGGCTCGTACTGTCAACTAAAAATTCCTAAATCTTAGCGTCACCAATATTAAAAATTCGTTTACAATGAACAACGACAAATCTCGGGATAATGTGATCGCTAATTCGTCGAATAAAATCTCGTTATAAAATCAAGTTAAAAATACAATCAGTAGCCTTGGATCATCAAGAGCAAATAGATGTAATCTATTTAAATTTTTTCAAGGCCTTTGATCGACTACAGTATGAGATTATTTTATGTGAACTTAACAAGTGTGGTCTTTCATTTCATTTGTAATCAACAGAAATGTGAATGTTATAAGGCTTTCAGTTCACGGAGTGAAGGTGTTCCACAAGGATCAATTGTAAGCCCATTGTTATTTAATATGTTTATTAACAATATTGTCAGTTTGATTTAAAGATAAAAACAGGACAGTATCGTTCTACAACAAAAACTTGAAATATTGAATATGTGGTGGAAGTTGGATAAATAATACTTACATACGAGAAAACATAATGTGTCAACAAACTTCCAGAAAGAAAAAATTTATTGTATAGTATTGGCAATATATTACTTTAACACAACACAATTTGATGCCGATTTAGCAGTTTATTCTGACAGCAAGTTAAATTTTAATCACCATATGCATCACATTTTTTCAATGTTGATACTAATAAAGAATAAAGCTCTTATATATTGTTCTGTTCGACTTCGATTAGAATATTGTTCCCTTGTTTAGTTACTAATTACAGCCTTCAAGTCACGTAATCGCCAAGCAACCAACAAAAATTCCCTAAATCTTGACGTCACCAACGTTAATGATTCGTTTATAATGAACAGTGACAAACGCTCAAGATAATGCGGTCGCTGATTGGTTAAATAGATTCTCGTGAAAAATTACACCATCATAGCTGGTGAAACAGAATGTTGTGCTTTAATGTAATCTTTTCTTATTGTTTTAATGAACGAAATAAAATTATTGCTCCAAACAAAATTACTGGTCACGTGGCTTGTAATTATTTATGAAAGGCTCTGTATATTGGTTTGTTAAAGAGAACATAACGTAGATTTTTTAATTTTAATTGTATAAGATTTAAAATATTGATTTGTGAATATATTAATATATATATTTCATATATACAATCATATTAATTACGATTACACCACATTACGGTTCTGTGTATTTGCATTAAGGTTTTAACGTTATCTAATCATATTCTTTTTGGCTATTTGAGGAGAATTGATAGAAATTATGGTTAAGTATAAATTTTAAGTAGGTAAGATATACATATAAAAAAACAAATACGTTTTGCGCATACGGTGAGGATTTGTCATTGATAATTAAAATGAATTAAAATACCAGGCAATATTTGAAATGTCTGAATTATTATTTAATCTAAATTTAGTAAAGAAATATTATCAAACTGTAATCGTGATCAATTTTTATTACTAGAGATTGTTGGCAAATACGTAACGGGTATTTCTATCTAATCTAAAATTGAAAACTATTTTTTTTCTTATATTTGCTTTTAATGTGAATAATGTAAGTATGCAAAGAAGGTTGATAAATTTTGGTCCGTTGCGAGAGTAAAAAACAAATATTTGATTATAGCTGATATCACTTGATCAAATAACGGAAGTGAAATATATAATTTGTTGTAAGGAATATATTCTCAATGAACATTTTAACTTTACTCTTTAAAATATAAAGTCAAACCTGTTTTGAGAAAATTAAGACATGTCAGAAGTTTTAAGAAAAAGTAAGGACATCTTTTTGCTGTCTACTTCTACTTTGAAATATTAAAGGTAATTTTTTTTAAGAATTGATCAAAACTATTAGAATTAAATCGGTTTAATAATTGGATTAATCTCGAACATTCAATTATTATAAACGAAACGTTTCTAGAAGGGTTATGTGAAAGACTATAGGCGCAGATTGCTTAAGAATTTGTAAATTATGAATGAAGAATAATTGAACACTTGTGCAAGAAAGTTTAAATTAATTTTAAAAATTACGGGAATATTAAAATTTTTAATAATTTAGTAACTAAATTAATTGAAATTTCTTTTTGGTTTGATTGAATATGAATGAGGATATATTTATGGAAATTTGGACTTGGCAGCCTGACGGATTAATAATAAACGTTGGATTACACAACCCCAAAAAAAAAGTGGAAGGTCCGAAAGTCAAGACCATGAATATCCGTTTGTTTTTGGGGTCGCTGAATCCGAATCCGGAGTCCGTTTGTCCAGATTAAATCTGGGTTGTCAGTTCAAGGTCAAACGTAGAGAATCAATTGCCAACAAAATAAACCTACATTATCTATCCGTTTTTGTGAGCCTAAGTAAATAAGCTTTAAAACCAATGTGTCCGTTTACGCAGTGAGTCCGTGTCGATCGAGATTCTTCAGAACAGTTTCTCAAGACAAGAGGCTAGGTTTTTGGTCTTGATGAATCGGATGAAATCACTATTTCTCTCTATTATGGTATCTAGACTACTACTCACTTTTGTGGTATTCAACTATTTCGTTGTTCAAGATATGCAAAGTGAATTTCTTTACTTTTATATCCCATCTGCCTTGGTACCGAGCTCTATTTTCTTAATATCTTGGTGAAATATTTCTACTTGTTCCTCAAACCCAAACTAATTCTCCATTTTGGAGTTCAAAACCAAACAAATTTTTATAGGTATCTTTTTGATTGAAATTTCTTGAATTCTTGCATCGTCGTCATATATTTTCTTTGATATATCGAAAAAATCTCGTCTAAATTTCTCACTGAAGGCGTTTGGTAGTGGGAGACTTGGCTACTGAAGAGTTTACTATTATAAGAATTTACCATCTAAGTTCAGGTGATCATGGATACGATATCGACAAAAGAGCTTTTGCTACATCTATGGCAAGTATGAGGTTCGTGAGAATAGAAGATAGATTAATCAACTTATTAAAGATGTGTATAAAAGTCTGTTTAGTTTTAAACTCCAAAGTGAGGAATCTGATTGGGTTTGAGGGGCATGGAGAAAGATTTCACCAAAATATTAAGGAAATCGAGTGTCGGTGTCGGTACGAAGGCATATGGGATATAAACGTGATAGCCGAACATTAAAACGAGATTTACTAGTAAATCAGTTTTCAACCGATGCATGTTGGTCATAAGTTGATGTCATTAACTGTTCAAAGTTTAAGTTGGTTCTAGTTATATTGGTATTATCAGCAAAGAGTATACTTTTAGTATAATGAGGTAAACAATTAGGAAAATCATTAATATACAGGGTGTCCCATAAGCACATGATCAAATAGGTACTGCGACATTCTTTGGCTCAAATGAAGACGATCTGACTTAACTTCCTTTAAGAAAAAATGTCCGGCTCCTCTGCTATTGATTGTCAAAGTTCTTGAAAAAAAATATGTTTTTTTGTTATAATAATATCTGGGGGAATGTTACTATGGATTTTAATGAAACTCGCTTCTGGACTTGTTTCTAAGTAAGACTCATGTTTTGATGAAGCAACCGCGTCCATCCGCTTTGGGCAAGTGGTAAATTCTTGAGTGTCTTGGTACAAGAATTACCAGAACTTTTTATTTTATCGCTGGAATCATTTCATTTTTGTTTTATTGATGCATCAGTCCTTTTTCGAGATTTTCGTGCTCTTGATAAAATCTTGTAGCAATCATAGTTTTTACGCAGAAAAATGTTTTCAATTTTAGATAATCATTATCACTACTACTCAAGTACAACTCGCTACAATCACTACTATCGTAGTAAGCGATAATGACATTTTATAATAAATGCAGAAGAAAACTCACATGCAAAGCGTATTAACCACTTTCAGGTGGAATTTCGAATAAATGTTTGGGCCGCGATCATCGGTGACATCCTTCTGGGTCCTTATGTCTTGCCGCGACGCTGGAATGGCGAAGATTATCTCAATTTTTTGAATAATACCTTTCCGGTTCTAATGGAAGATGTCCCTCAATCTTCGTGCTCAGATGTGGTTCATACACGATGGTGATCATCCGTACTTTAGTGNACATCCTTCTGGGTCCTTATGTCTTGCCGCGACGCTGGAATGGCGAAGATTATCTCAATTTTTTGAATAATACCTTTCCGGTTCTAATGGAAGATGTCCCTCAATCTTCGTGCTCAGATGTGGTTCATACACGATGGTGATCATCCGTACTTTAGTGCAGATGTAACTGCACATTTAAATAAAACTTTTTCACACAAGTGAATCGGAAGAAGAGATGTACCTGTCGAATGCCCCCCCAGGTCCCCCGACTTAACGGCATTAGATTTTTTTCTATGGGGAGCCTTAAAGAATAATTTAC